CACGCTTGTTATCTTTTCACAGGATTGAAAAGTTGGAGAAAGAGAGGACAGTGACTGTTCAGTGCAGAAAAAACGGCTGGACAGATGTGTTGGGGGAACTGGAAGAGTATGAGAAAGTGCTGGAGGAAGAAAGAAATGCTGAGAGTGGGTCTTTGTTTGCGTTCCTGTAACATAACTCCTTAAGATTTAATGGAGCAAGGCGATAGACAGACAGCACTTTACTGTGAATACTTATTGTATATCTGATCCCTTTCACATATAAGAACACTCAGTAGCCATAGCAGTAAACTAATATTAAAGGAAACATCTATTTACCACTGTGATAAAATCTGTTGTGCTTTTTTCTCTAGAGGTGAATCTTCAAAAGCAGCTAGTGAAGATCCATAATGGCGTGAGGAAATTTCAGAGGCATCTAACTGATGTGAAACCAACTCCTGAATGTAAGTTTATTGTCTAGCGGCATTTTCTCACAATATATGAGCAATGATAGCATTTTGTAATATGTTAACTGTATTTATATTAAGTATCTTGTAAGACAATCACTATTTTTTGTCATCATTAATATTAATATTAGTGCCATTCTGTCACATCAGTGTGAACGATACTATTGTAAAATTGTGCTCTGCTTAATAAAGGCTTGATGACTGTAGTGTTTTATGAGCACAATGAAAATACAATAGTTTTAAAGCAGTTTGGAAATTATGTTTCTGCATTTCTGCTTGGATTTTCAGTGATTGAAAGACTGAAGGAATTAATGTCAGAGGTGGAAATCTCAATTAACACCCTAAAGGAGGAACAGCGGTCATGGTAACAGGATACACTAAGTAGCTTTAGACAAAAAAGAATAAAAAAATAGAAAAATATAATCCCCAATAATGTGTTAAGCACATTTGAACACATTAACCCTTTAACAAATACTACTTTTAACTCATAATGTTAACTACATGTATGGAGAAAACAGTATTTAATATCATGGAATCCAATGCCCCAGCTCAGAGTGCAACTATTTAAAAAGTACAAGGTGCAGCAAAGTAGGCAGGTGGTTTATATTTAAAAGTATTTTTATATACAAAAATGTGTTTCTTTGCATCTCCAAGCTTTGAGGAATTTTTGAAGGAGGAGAGGACGTGCAGACAGGAGATCACTGCCTATGAGAAGAAGATCGAAAACTGGAGCGTTGCTGTCAAATCAAACCCCAAACTACCCACAGCTCCCACTGTTAAGGTCTGTCTCTCTCTTCAGTTCTACAATTTAATTTAGCAGACGCTTTTATCCAAAGCGACGTACATCTGAGAGCACATACAACACAAGCGAGGATCTAGTCAGGAGAGAACAATCTAGATAAGTGCCATAGAACAAATTCAAGTGTGACAGGGCGCTGATGCCAATAGCAGGCTGTGTGGGAGGTCTTCAGTCATCCTACATCTGTGTTTTCTCATTTGTTCATCAGTTAAGCAATGAAAAGAGGAAGGAAAGCCGAGTTTTTTTGTGAGTATAGATTCTTACAATTATGGCCTTGTTGTTCCTAGAACACCAAACCCCCAGACAAAGACCTCCCTGCAGAGGTCAGAGCGCTGGAGGCTTTCCTGCAGAAGACCGGAGGCCCTTACGGCGGCTGGGACCAATATGACCACCAAGCCTTCCTTAAAGTAAGTAAAACTATTTACCGCCACTAATCACTCCCTAAACTAACCGTTTCAATTTTTTTTACCAATGGCAGCTTCAGTAGATGCCAACCCTAAAGTCAGCGACCTCCAGATTGTTGTGTGACTCACTCTAATCTGTTGGATTTACAGGTCTGGACAAAGCACAGTGGGAGGCCAGCCTACAGGAAAGAGGCCAAACTGTACCTGCCTGGGAAAACAGTGGAGGAAATAGAACAACATGAGGACTGGCATCAGGAGTTGATCTACCTGCAGGACAGAAAGCGAGAGGTAGAGGACAAAACACGCATGAGCACAAGACAAAAGTGACGCTCAACACTTCTCGTCGAGCTGTGAGCACCACCAGAGCTGGCATGGGAAGATCTGTCACTGTGCTAAGGCTTCTTGGCATCGCAAGGCCACCTAGTATAAAAGTTAATTAAATCCAGATTGCGCCATTTTTGAATAATAGACCAAATTTTGTCATTTCTTTTATTTTTTTAAATGTCATTTAACATCTTCAAAATGTCATTGTCAGGAGTGTATTGTTCTAATCGAATGTGAACCTACAATTTTAGGCACAAATTGTACAAAATGTATTTGGTATGTGTTTAGATTTTATTTCTTAAAACTCAGAACCGCCTTTATTACAGATAATCGTGATATGCTCAGTGCTCAGGGGAAAAAAACTTCTCAGGAGGTGTTTTTTGGAATCCAGTTTTACTACTTGTATTGATCCCGTCTCAGGCTATTCAGCGGTGGAAAGCCGGCAAGCATCGAGAACGCCAGACCAGGATACAGATTCAGGAGGAAACAGAAGAGGCAGAAAGGAAGGAGAAGGAGGCTTGGGGCCAGGCCCTGCAACACAGGTAAGTAACAAGTGGAATAGAATAGGAAAAGAAAAGAAAGATGATGTGCAGCCAGTATTGATTCCACAGTGAAATGCATCTCACCACATCAGCCATAAAATAAATTTATGTGCATTATTTACTTAGTGAGTTTTTCTTTTTCTGTTTTAGGACAGAGGAGGAGAAGAGGGAGGTGGCACGGCGACTGGAAGAGTGGAGGGAGGAGAAGAAAAGGAAAGAAGAGCAGGAAGAGAAGCAGAGACTGGCTGAGGAAATACAAAACCGGAGATGGGAAAAGGTACGCATGTGTGTCATTTCACTGTAGTTGTAGCTTTATTTCATCAGAGATGGCACTTCTTTACTGCTAAGTACTTATCTGTGTGAGTAAGGTGCAGTTTATTTAGCGTGAAAATGAACATATGAAAATTATTACATGCCTTATACAGAGCTAAACCTGATGTCAACAGGTTGATGATTGGTGAACCCAAAATGATTTTGATTCATTAGGAAGAGCGTCGCCGCCAGCTGGAAGTGAAACTGACCATAGAGGAGCAACTACGACAGAAGAGAGAGGAAGAGGAGGAGCAGAAGAGGAGGAAGAAAGAGGAAGAACAGAGAGAAATGGAGGAGAGGAGAAGGGAGGCGACAAAGGGCATCAAACGCTTTAATGAAAGGGTATGAAGTCTGAGAATCACAGAGACACAAGGGAACGCAAGATGAGATGTTTGTCCTCAGAGTTCACATATTAAACAGGACGTCTGTGTGGGTTGGGCTCAGTTTTAGGTTGAAAGAGAAGCTGTGACGTAGCCATACTGTATAAAATACAAATCTTGACTGCGCCTTTCTGCAGGATCTTCACAAGGTGGAGGCAAAGCTTCATGAAAGACAGCTGAGGGAAAAAGAGGAGGAGGAAAGACAGAACAGGATCACTGTTAAGTTAAAGGAGAAGGTAAAGGTTGTCGACAGAAAAAGAAAAACATTTTAATGACTAATTCTGATCAGCTTTAAAATCTTAAACATACACGATTGTGAGTTTTGGAAAAGGTTGATGCCTGTTCACTCCTCACTCAGGTGGATGGTCGTGTCAGCAGAGACCCCTCCAGACTGACTCGTCCCACTAAGGGATGGCAGGAGAGAATGAAACACATCGGACCTTCAGGAGGAGGACCAGAGCTACAGATGTTTCATAGGTCTGATCACCTGTACTTCTTGTTTTAGGTGCTTGCTAACTGAAACACTGAAATCTTGTCTTTTGTTGCAGAGCTGTTCCTACTTGGAGACAAGGCCTGTGATGAATCCAAAGAACCAGCCCTGAAATATATTCAGGCAACTTTTTTTTACAGAAATTATATCAAAAGAAAATATATGATTTAATGGGAACTCAATGCCAAAAGGTGCCTTTATTAGAATTTTCTCTGTGCTGCTGTTGGTGGTTTTGTACAATTTGTGAATCAATCGCAAATAAAACCTTGTTTCTAAGTTTGCATCCGTTTTGATCTATTTTTGCTGCATGTATTTTTATTTTTTATATTTTTAGCAGCCATCAAAAAACATAATCACCAGTTGTAGGGAATTGTTTACATATGTTTATTACGCATGCAGAAATATGCCATCACACAAGCTAAATGTAAGGATGATAAATAGTCAGAGGGTTTAAAAGCAGGATTTGTGTGGAAGATGTGAACTCTCAGAGACAGCTTTGATAAGATTGTTTTGTAAGAACCACGTGCGTCATATCGCCTGCTCACAAGACATTGTGCAAGGCCACAATGTTCAGGACACAAGATAGACTGAACAGATTGTGTGAGGTTTTTATGTAAGCATGCAGCTGCTGAACATGAGCAGAGAATATTGTGACTGTGACACATCGGTGGGTCTATAACGTACACCGGGCCGGATAAAGAATTGTTTTAAAGTCGCTGCATTCTGTGACTACGTTTAATTGTGTAGTTACAATTAAACCACAACAGAACTGGAGATCACTGACACCTAATTTTTTGTCCTTTTAAGTGTGTTTGAATAATTCAGTGAATGTGATGGTGAGAAAATACACCAGCTGGACTGTTAATAGTCTGTTATTTGGTCAGTTTTCCATCCCTATTGCTTAATTTATGTAGAAATTTCTCAAAGGCAATATACAAAAAGAAAATCTGTATGATATTTACTGGCTGTACCTTCAGTAGAAAAAAAAATCTAAATTGCTTTTTCTTTTTTTTTTTTGTACATTTATGTGTAGTGCGTGCTTTTATGTTGAAAACCAAACGTACCGGACAAGATTCCTCATAGGTGCGGATGCAAAGATGGCGGAAGAGGAGAGCCAGTTTGAAGAATTTGAGCAAATAGACTTTTTAAGAGATCGACATGTACGGTTCTTCCAGAGGACGCTTCAGGTGCTGCCTGAGAGATACGCATCGCTGGAAACAACCAGGTCAGTTTACTGGTGTGGAGAAAGGCGCTGTCGTTGAAATGTTTTGTTCAAGAACTTGATTAGCACCCGAGCTAGCTGCTTTTCACCAGCAGTTTTGAATGGAGTGGAGGCTAGTGCTACTTAGCTTAGCACACATGCTAACAGCAGCTAGTTAAGTTGTGACAGATAGAGAGATGTAGTAAGAACAGGCAACAGCGAGGCTTGGCGCCCTGGACAGTTTATTAGGCAACGTTAGGGTAACATTATCGAAGGAATAAGCGGAATTAAACCGTTAAGTTACTCAGGCTATTAGAAATTGTAAATTGAATACATTTCTCTCCACTTGCCTCAACTGCTTTGACAGCCTGACTTTAACTTAACCAACAGTTAGCGTTACATTTTAGCCAGCCTGGATGACTTAATCTTTATTAAAACAATGTTTTATCATCCAGTAATTTAATGTGACACAATTTACATTGCCTTGGCATTGCAGCATAGTTCTGGTTGTGCATTCACAGTTGTTAGATGTGAGTTATTGTCTGCTCCAAATGTTAAATGTGTAAAAAATTGTATATTTTCCCTCTTTCCAGATTAACCATCATATTTTTTGCCCTGTCTGGTCTCGATGTGCTGGATGCCCTTGATGTGATAGATAGGAACACCATGATTGAGTGGATCTACTCACTACAGGTTCTTCCCACAGAGGACCGTAAGTCTCATCACACAGTTTCACATCTGAGGTTAAGAAAATGATTTACAAAAAGCTGTGACAATAATAATAACACAACTAAAGATTATTGTGAATCAGCAAATCAAAAGATAGTTTTCAGAACAGCTACCTACATCGAAGCTTCAGACACATCGCTTTAAAATCAGGTGACGTGAGAATCAACCACAGCAGCATAGAAATACTCTTTGAATGCCTTTATTATTATGGTTAGCGTCACCTGTGTTCCTCCAGATGGATCCTGTTTCCCTCGTGTTATCTTTTGCATATATATTTCACCAGTTCAGTGCTTATGTTCGGCTACACTACAAAAACAAACTGTCAGCTGTAAAGATAATATTCCCCATAGTCACAAAATACAGTTGTCTAAACCCACAGTAGTCATTGTCTATGAAGATAGTTAGTCATCCCTGTCACAGTAACTCTTAAGAGTTTCAATAGAAGACAACTGGACTTCTCTTTTTATTCTTAAAGATATTTCACCTCTTCTCCCGAAAGCTTCTTGACTTCAGAACAAAGACATCCACTTCCCGAAGCTCTAAAACAAGAGTTCTCTTCGCCAAAATAGTGCAGATTATCCCAGTATTGTTTCAGCTTCTGACAAAAACAGAAGATTAGAAATTGTCCTCAGATGCTTGCAAAGAAAAGGTGCTCCATTGCTATAGCAGGGGCAGAAGGATCAGACTCACTTTCCTCTAAAAGGGGCCATAAGCGGGGCAGGTGATTTTGTGTGTATGGTCACATTAAGACAAACAGAACTTTAAGAAGTTTTGTGTGGCTTAAGTTAAACATTTTCTGAAGCTTCCGGGCTTTGTCAAGTTAAGGTTACTGCCATTGTGAGATTTTCTTCAAGGATACATTTCAGGATAGTTTCGTCAAGTTCGTCAGCGTAAAAGTCGTCACACTCAAAAGTCTGCGAGACATTTAGCTACCGTTTGAATTTTGAAACAGATCGTGGCGTCCAGGTGTCCTCCTCACTTAACCTGTTCCAACTGTACCTCTGTTCATCAGAGAAAGTTGCACTCTAAATATTTAATTGCTTGGAGTTTCTAACGAGCCACTCTGTGCCATCTGTTTAGATGCCCATTTAGTTAATTATTCAAGACGTCAACAGAAATCGTGGAGCGATAGCTGTGGCTGTGCTTGATTGGTCTCAGTTTTGCTGCTGCCATATGTTTAGTGTCTGGCAGGTTTCTTGTCATTAGAAATGAAAATACAGCTCAGGAGGCACCTGAGATTTCCTAATGCGTCATCAGTATGGAAATACATTTGTTAGTATGGAACTGTTAAGATTTATAGCGGCTGTGTCGTTGCTTTCCAACTAAATGCAGGTGTGTTGACTGAATTATTTGTATAGATTAATTTATTCTTCATAAATTTGTGTCTGCATCTGTGGCCAGTGTTGGAAATAACATGTTACAAAGTCAGTCCACAACTTTTGGTGGTCACGAGTAATGCAGTTCAGAACGTTCTCCAATTAAATAATGCAATTACAATTGCTGAGATTTCAATAGGGTCGTTATTCATTACTTTTTCCTGACGTGAAATATTTAATGTGCAGCTGAAAGCTACTGTAGACAAATGCAGCCTCTCCCTCAATTTCCTGTTTATGATACAGCATTATCTGACCATATGGTGGTGCAGGGAATGAGCACATCAATCAGTCAGGATTCGCCCACATAATGGTCAACAGTGAGCAATGTGAACTTGCTGCCCTGCAGATATGGACGTTACTCATCTGCAATAAAGCATAGTAATTCAAATCATTAGAGGCATCTGGGAGAACAACACAGTTCTACAAACCTGATCACAAAGGTACCCAGTGCTAGCATCGCTTACCAAGCATCCACTTTATCCAGACAGCCAAGGCTTGATGAAGCCTTTCTATTCTGTTCTGTTCGATTCAGTTCTTCTCTTGGGGGGACAGAGCCTTTTCTGCTGCTGCTCCCACCCTCTGGAACTCCTTCCATCTCCCATCCGACACTTTTTTAACCTGCCTCTCTACCTTGCCTTTTATCTGCTTTTTATTCAACTTGTTTTGTTCCTGTTTTTATCTTATGCCCTGTTAAGTGACTTTGAGTATCTTGAAAAGCGCTACACAAAATAAATGTATTATTATTATTTTCTTAATTTCAAACCCAAGAATCCTGCTGCACGCTCTGTAAACCAGTCAGAACTAATCCCTGATCACCAGGTATGTTGTCAAAGACGTGCCATCTGTGTCAGCAGTTGAATCAGTTGCCTTCAGACAACTAATTAGCAAAACATCAGTGACGACTCAAGACTGATAACAGTGATAATGAGCACAATGGTCAGTCAGACTAAAATAGTATAACTACATATGTGCGCATTATAAGAAGTAAAATTAACTCAAAAGCTACTTTCTCTAGCAGCTAATTACTTTATATGCAGTAAAATAATTCAGTTACTTTTGAAACTAGTATGCAACGTTCACAAATTGCTCATTTTCAGTAACTCACACAACGTCTGTAGCAGAAGACTTCTGCCTCCTGATACCCATTTTCAAACCAGATATTTGTTGGAAGGCTGCTGTGTTTACGACGTGCTGAAAATACACCAATATCATAATGGAACAGGTTTCAAGCGGCACAGCTACAAGTACAAACTCAACAATAAGTGAGAATGACACTTCATATCATGTAGTGCAGTGAGATCAATACATTACAAGCCAGTCAGTCTGTTACAAATGGTAATATAATGTGTTCCATATAGAAATATCGATCTCCGTGGCTTGATTACCATTATGCTGAAACTCTGCTGAAGCATGTTGTGCAGTCCGTGCAGAGCGATGACATTTTATCCATCCATTCCTGCTCTATGTGGCGCCTCTGTGGCCAGGAGATGGCAGCAGTGCACTTTTCTTAGCTGAGCTCCTTTGCAGCACCTCACTGAAGGTCAATGAAAACTCAAGGAGACCTAGTTTGTGAGACAGTAAAACAGAGTCTGGTTTTCTTGTTCCAGTGTCTTTTTATTGTTTACCAGCGCAATAATTCTTACGTCTCAACCTGCCCTTCTCCTCTTATTGTCTTCCAGACTCTAATCTAAGTCGTTGTGGGTTTCGAGGATCATCGCATATTGGTATTCCTTACAGCACTAAGGTACTGCCGTTTCTTAGTGTTTTCAGGTTTGACCAGACATTGTGTTTTGTATGAAAATAAAACATGTTCACTCCCATTAGTCTGAATATACACTGTACTTCATGACACAGTTTTGCCGCTGTGATCCCCTTCTTTTCCGTTTTTTTTCATTTGCATTAATCCCTCTTAAAATAGTTTGATTTTAAACCATTTCAATCGTTGTACCAATCTGTTTTCTCACATCCAGGGGCTCTGAGCCATTTCCTCTTTGTTATCCCTGCAGCTAAAGGATTAGTTGTCGGTGACATTACTGTCCAGATCTACAATCTTGTTATGCTTTACCATCACAGTTGTGTGAATAATACCTGTTTCCAATGTTTTCTTCAGCCGCCAGGTGTCCTCCATCCATACGACAGCGGCCACGTAGCCATGACCTACACTGGGCTGTGCTCGCTGCTGATCCTGGGAGACGACCTGAGTCGGGTGAATAAACAGGCCTGCCTGGCTGGTCTCAGAGCGCTGCAGCTGGAGGACGGCAGGTCAGAACACACACACTCAAGGAGTCGCACTTGCGCTCCTATTTACACTGACGCTTTGTCTCTGACTCATAAACACCTGAGGTCATGTGAACAGTAGCAGTCCTAACGTGGGCTGGCATCAGCTCACATTGGATCCTGTAGTGGTCGTAGTCCACAGGCACAGACAGCTTCATCGTGTATCATGTTTGGCACGTTACACTACGATGAGACATAAATATTACAGAGGTAGCACTTCAGCTGACAGAGTTTTTTATTGCATTTGATGTGATGCATAAATACCGACATTGTGCTAATTTCTGGTTGTTTGCGTTCAGAGCTGCAGGGATTAACAGATTAGTCTATTAAATTAATCATCAGCGTTTTTGATAATTAATTAATCTATTTGAGTCAAAGTTTTCTGATTCTTTCTTGTTAAATTTGAATATTTTCAGGTGTCATTCCTCTTCGTTGACTTATAACCCTTTCTATACTTAGTAACTTTGGCTTTATTAGCTAGGAATATCAAATCAAACTTTATTTATACAGCACTTCTCATACATGGAACAACGCAAAGTGCTTTACAGCATTAAAAACATTGTCAAAGAAAGAAAGAAAAAAAAAAAAGACAAGAAAACCCGTCACAAAACACATACAGCTACGTACACAGACACACACTCTCAACACTGACTGTGGGGAGACATGGCGTGGCGCTGAGGCTCGCGGGAAAACGCTACCAGTTGGGGCCGTCCACACCAAGAGGAGTTGCAGACCATGGCCGGGTGCCGGCACCCTGACCCCCCTGGTATATATGCCTGTATGCCAGGGCCCTCGCCAGAATTCCTTTACAGCGTACCAGGGGGAAGGGTCGTCGACAGGGTGGTGAGGGGGGAAGTCGTCGTCGTATGCAATTATTATTATTGTTATTATCATTATTACTATTTGCATAATTTATTTCATGACTGAATCACTTGTTCATATATGGGGATTCCCACTTACAGACAGTCAAAATGAATGTAACAGAAAGTCGCCATATACCGGAGTCCGCTATACCGGTCTGCAGGGTAAACGGGATCAAAGCGGCAGACCGTTAAAGCGGTCTGCAGGGTTGATTGGGTGAAAGCTGCAGACCGGTATAGCAGGCTATAATGTTGAAAGGGTTAAGTGAATACCTTTGTGTTGTGGTCAAAATGAGTCCAAACAACTAATTGGTTTATAGGAAAAATAATCACCAGCTCATTCAACAATAAAAATACTTTGAGTAACTCTTCTTCTTTATGGCTTTCTGTCTTGCTTGCAGTTTCTACGCAGTGCCAGAGGGAAGTGAAAACGACATCCGGTTTATCTACTGCGCAGCCAGTATCTGCTACATGCTGGACGACTGGTCAGGCATGGACATCCAAAAGGCCATCGAGTACATCCGAGGAAGTTTGGTGAGTGGATCTTAAAAATGTACAAGGGGGGGTGTTTGAACTTTGGGGGGAGAATATGAAGTTTTTTTGCCGCAGCCCCCTAATGAATGAGCAGAATGAAAGCGGGCCAGCAGGACCGCCCCCCAAAGCATACAACCACTGTTTCTGCACCATTCAAAACAGTGCTGCAACACTTGAATGAGGAGAATAGGCCACCCACCTTCAGGAGGTGGCACTGTGCCTAGAAATGCTTCATGTATTATAAATGGAGAGGGCTGAGCAGTGCAGCATGGTCTTAAAGCTGCAGCAGAGGTTTTTCCACCCCAGCAGGAGAAAAACATGTTCAAGTCAGATTATTGGCAGATTTTTAACTCAACCCAGTAAAGGGGTTAAAAACATCAAAGCACTCAGCGTGAGGTATCGTCTTCTTGTACACCTCGGGTCCCCGGAGCACAGAGGTCGTCCCATCCGCCTCTAAACTTCAGCTTATATTAACTTTGACATTTAACACAAGAGGGTTTTATTACATAGTTTATTCATTGTTTGCAGGGGTGTGTATCCAACATGCCCTCTCTCTCTTCTTCACACAGGAGCAGACACATAAAGGCCTCTAAATTAGTCAGCAGATAACTGTAAATCTTGACTGAAAGTATATTTATCCACTGGTGGGTGGATTCCAACATGTTTTTTGGCGAAGCAAAGTTAGCTGTTGGTGAATCTAAGTATACAGAAAGCAGCAGATGATGGATGGTTATGTGTCACAGGGCCTGGAACAGTAGACAAGTTTACCAGCCACACCGAAAGTTTCACTCACAATTGGAGGAGAGCAGGTATCCATTTACCAACCGTATTGTTGTGGTCGGATCAGAGCAGACAGAGACAGAATCACAGTTAGTTTTTCCCAACTGCCAGCTGCTGTTCAGCCTTTTATATTTCTGTATGAGCTGCTGCTGCTGCGTACAGTAGGTAGCTGTTTTCCATAGTATTGCCTTGAAACATGGAACAGTTTCAGGGTAAATAAAATTCCCCTGAAACAAGTGTGTAACGTTATCCAGCTTTAGGAAACCTATTCCAGGTGCCCATTTTGTAATCTGGAAACAAGGTCACGGCGCCTGTTCATTCATTGTTGTCAGTTATTTTTAGCTGCTGTGTTCCATAAAAAGTTGGTTTAGACTGAAATACAAGTAAAACCTCTTGGAAGCACGACTGCCTCTGCTATTTTTTTCTTTAAATACAAGATTGATGCCCAAAGAAAACACATTATAAGTGAGTATCGTGACATTTTCCCTTGATTTATTTTAAACCGGTTTACTTATCCTTTTAAAGCTGGGCTGTCTCTTAGTGTACGTTTGTGTATCCTCAGTGAGATTATGTAATTTTAACTGCTGACATTGATTGCAACACAAGTAAATTCATTTTTAAAAAAAGGAAGAAGTATAAAAACACAAGTTAGCATGCTAGTTGTTCCAAAGCCAGTTAAAGCTGCTGCTGGTGTTTTGTTCATGGTGACATTTTTACTTTGAGGTTTAAATGATGGGGTTCAGTGTGAATAAATACATGCGTGCAGTAAATGGATGTGGTTCCGCCTCTCTGGCACTGATCTTTGTTCATGAACGGGATCACTTGCAGTTAAATGTTTTTTTTTCCCCCTTTTGTTTCTTCACAGTCGTACGACAATGGTTTTGGCCAGGGAGCTGGGCGAGAGTCACATGGTGAGTATGAGCATCTTCTAGTGATGCATATTTAACCACAGATATTATAAATGTGAGTTTGAAGAGGCTTTGTGTTAAGTCACAGTTGTAAGAGTGAAAACGTACACTCCTGGCAACCCCAATGTGTGAATCATGATTCAATTTTGAGGTTCGTATCAGATCAAAAGGTTTGTTGGCATGAGAGTGGCTGATGGGAATAACTGCTTTAAAGGATTAGCCATTAAAATCCATCTCTATAGATACAGTACATTGTTCTCATTAATCCTCCCCCCCCCCTCCTCCCGCTCAAATTAAACCTTGTTATTCTGGTACAAAAGCCTTCATCCTGCTCACACACACATTTCAGAGCGCTGCTGCTTGGTAAAATATCCACAGCCACCTCATTGGCACGGTGAACCAAGCTTTTCCTGTTCATTTTTCAGAGCACACCGAGAATGCATAAATTAAATCTATAAAATTGAAATTGCTTGAAGGAGCAGATTCTAGTGCATCGTAGCAATTTCCCTCCTTGCGATAAATTTGACTTCAGTGATTACAGGCTTCATGGAGATTCTGCTTTCTTCTGCAAGCCAGCCAGCTTTCTTTCTGAGGGCTGATTACACATCAGGGGAGATATATAGTAGATGCCCATTACCCATCCTCCCTAGAAGTGTGCTGTGTTTGTTCAGCACCAAGACCTCCCACACTGCGCGCTCTAAATGTAAACAGACTCTCGCAGCATTTTGTTGATAATTGTGTAATTCAGCACCTGAAACGTAGTATTATAGATGCTCAGTGCCACGTGAAAAAAAATGACTTTCTCTCTCTGTGTATGTCTTCTGTGTCGTTGCCTTTTTTTTTTTTCCTCTTCTTTGGGCTATGTAGAGTTATTTTCTGGAGACAGTGCACCTATTTCCATTACTTACACCTGGAAAATTCCAATTGTTATTTACCACAAATTATGCACCAAAATACATTCAGGTGTGTTTATTTCAGATCATCCGAAACCTTCTTTAAAACAAACAAAAAGAGCATTCTTGTCCCAAACCTACTCTTAGGGTAAATGCTTTTGGATTCCCCCCAGCTGCATTCATTTCAGATTTATATTTATCTCCTCTTATCCCCTCTTCCTGTGCCTCCAGCAGATAGCGAGCTTGACATGGTTGATTAGAGGCAAGTGTAACACGTTGGCAGATTTACACCCCTGACCCCAACACTTCACCCCACCTTCTCTTTGTTTTCCTCCCTCCCACGTGAACACACACAAACTCAGATAAGCAGGCTGGGATGGTGCTAATGTCTGAGGTCAGTTAAAGGCATGGTGATAATGCAAGCACTTGACTGCTGCGTTGTACAAGCTGATGGATATTCGCTGCTTGTACCTGCTCTGATAACAACCTGTCGTCAATCAGTTAACACTCTTTGGGTGTCTATCTGTAAAGACACTCTGCGTTCAATCTCCAAACTTAAATGTATAAAGGTGTACCTGAAGCGTCTTCATTCCACTCAGAAGTCAAAACATAAGGTGTCTCCATGTTGTTATGACTTCCAAGGAAAAGGTAGAAATGAGAGTAGCAGCATGCTATCGATAATTTGGCAGCAAATGTGCCCTCATGCAGTCACACCCTCTGTTTTTACTGTAGTTCCCTTGTAATCATCTTGTTGTCTGTCATCAATACACGCCAGGGTGAACCACCAGAACCGCTTTTCAGTTTTAATACATTGTAAGGAATTAGTCTTCAAATTTAGTTAGGTTTCTTGGTGTTATTAATTGTCCATGTGTGTCATGCTGCTGCCAGGTGGCTGGACGTACTGCGCCATAGCTTCTCTGTGTCTTATGGGTCGACTGGAGGAGGCGCTGAGTCAGCGTGAGCTGGACAGGATCCGACGCTGGTGCATCATGAGGCAGCAGAGCGGTTTCCACGGGCGCCCCAACAAACCTGTAGACACATGCTACTCCTTTTGGGTGGGAGCGACGCTAGAGGTAAAGAACAGTCGATCAAACACACTCCCACCTTTAGCAGGTTTGGTTCATTTATCTATTTTGCTTTTTTTCTGCATTTCGGGTAGATAATGCAATAAAGTATTGGAATGCTTTAATAACATGCAATCTTTATTTAATGACACACTGTGGCTCACACTGGGTTAATCCCCTGCATCCACACAACCCCCCAAAAAAAAATCTGTGAGCAAACCTTTCAGCATGTGGGTCACAACTCTGCTAGAGGTACGTACGTGATCACACATGATCCAGAAAACTGTGAGCTAAACAACTATGAGTAAGCCATGGATGCACAAGCAGGCATACGCACGCATAAGCAAACACAATGCAGGAAAACTGTGAATTTCTGGGTCAGAACTGTGCCAGAGGGACAAATGTGCACACTCAGACAAAATATTTGTATATGGCAAGAGTGCAGTATGGCAGCCATTGAGGCTTGATGTTTCCTCCACTGGTATGTGTGTGGATGGAGAATAGCGACTGATTACAGTGACCCACTGTGGTCAAATGAAATGCAATGACATGAGTGTTGGTTCACCATCTAAACACAATGTATGTCTCTGAATATGAATTATTATTACAATCAATCTTCTAATTGCTTGCAAGTGTCATGACAAAGCATCTCCTGTGTTTCTCTCTCACACACCTCCCCCACTCTCTCTCTCTCTCGTGTCCCAGCTGTTAGATGTATTCCAGTACACGAACTTCGACAGGAACAGGAGCTTCATCCTGTCAACGCAGGATCGGTTGGTGGGGGGCTTTGCCAAGTGGCCGGACAGCCATCCAGGTAAATGATTTGACTTGTAGAGGTGGCTTGTACAGGGGCATCTGGTGATATACACACACACACAGTGGTCATTGGATAGAATAAAAACACAGTGGAAGCTGGAAACACAATTACGGCTTCCCACTGTAGTTGATTATCAGGGTTTTGCGTCATTGTTGCTGAATTTTTTTTGTATCTACGTAGAGAAATTTTTAGAGAAAGTACAAGCAGCACAGATGCTTTATAATTCTGTCAAGTCCACAGGAGTGGAATGGAGCTGAATAGCGAGCTTAATATTTAATGACTTACCAGAGGTTGCTATTTATTTTTCTGTAGCTTCAAAGATCTCCCATTAGAACAAATAGATGGATCTAAGCAGTTTCGGTTCCTTTCATTTTTCCGTCTCTCTCTCTTTTGGCTGAACAGTTTCTGTCTGCCCTCTACATGCTCAGAGAGGTCAGGGTGGAGTCGTGGTTGGCAGTTCTACCTGAGATCAATGGAAAATCTTGTGTAACCCTAAACTTCAATGGTCTACCTGCTTGTGTGTGCATTTGTGTGTTCCTGCTCGCCCTCGTAATGTGTAATTGATGAGGCGATTGTTGCAGGCAGCCCGAGGACACGGGAGCTCGAGGTCCTCACGTTACAAGAACAAGGCAGGGAAGCTAGGGTGGAGGGAACAATGAGGTAAAATAGACATTGTGACGACAATCAGTTGTCAATACAACTGAACAAAGGGGAGTTTTAGGAAATAAAAGGTGCCTTACGGCAGTGTGGGCACAGGTAGCATTGGACTTGATGTGATGTGAAGGAAGTGGTCTGGGAAGACGGGAAGGTAACAATAACATGGAACAAAAGTATTTAAGTACATCTGCACCAAATACAAACAAATGTACTTTGAATATTTGACACAGCCTGGATTGAGGTCAGGTCATTCAGGTCAGGAATATTTGGGGTTATGTAACGAAGGAGTGGCCAAATGTCGGTTAATTGAATCTCATTCAAAAAGTGTATTGTTAAAAACTCTCAGAATCTACAACTCCTTCCCTGCCTGACTTCATGGCTGTAAAACGGATGAATGAACACCCAATCAATGGCCCATGGATCAAAATATAATAAGAAATTATTTGTTTTATTACTCTTGTAAAGAATCGTATTAATTTGAAAGATTTCTATGTAGAAACTTAATCCTCACATAGCTAGCCCCCTGTAATGATTGATGCAGCATTTTAGTCAAAATCATAACAACACTCTGATACCACGACTAACTTTGTGTTTCTCTGACCAAACATCACTGAAATCTGGAGCTGCACAAGGAATCAAATATTCATCACAACCACGGTTTTGGCCTTTCAGCAATTAACTTGGCAAACAGAAAACTCAGCTTATAGAAAAACCCTGTAGATAAAATCAATTGCTTTCAACTGAGGCTGAAGTCTGATATCAGAGCGCCTTATTTTACTCTTTTCAAAGCAATATAATATAACAACTGCACAATTTATTTGCAGTGGGGAGACTGGATGCTTCTCTTATCTGTTATAGTCTGCATGTGAGGCGTTCAAGGAAATCGGTACATTTTAGTGTATCAATAGGAAATTATTAAACCTGTGACAGGTTTTGGGTAAAGTTTTTTTGTATTTTGTCTCTGGAAGATGCAATTCAGGTGAAGAAAACCCCAAGTTTAAGTCTTATTTTGATGCAAACAGTAGTAATTAGCATGAATGTGGAATAGCGTGGAATTGAAGGTGGTGCTTCAAATGGCATAGTGTCACAAAAATATCTATTGAATGCAAAAATCAATTAAAAATTGTGATCTCAATATTGATCCATATAAATGTATTGCCCTAATCATGCAGCTATAGTTAATTCATATTGTTATCTAGCTATACAGCATTGATTTACAGTGTTGAATAAAATCTATTGCTTTGAGTCATGTCCAAAAATATGACTTTGATTTTGTTTCTACACATGACCCATCACAAGTCTGCGACGTGAATCTGAATGAAAATATCCATATTAATCGAATCCCACTCAAACCTCGGACTAATGCAGACATCTCCTCTGTACATCCTTGAATTTAAATCCTTACGTCCCCTGATTGATGTGGCTAATGGTGCTTTGATTGATTCTGATGTCTGTGTCCAATCATCTGTCATTTCATTATAATTCAATTACCCCTCCATTTACTGGCCTGTGCAGCTTTTACTCTCGTCCCAGGGGAGTAAAACGACCACTGAGCTAACCTCTGTGCATTATTTATATCTGCTTTAATGTGCAGAACAACAAAAGCGATGCTTCCGTATGGCGGAGGTTTTTATTTGAAATGAGGTTATTGTTTTATTGATTCATTAATGGAGAGTGAGGTGACAACTACCATCTTCGTCTTATCTCTGATTATTGTGAATGCTGCAGAGCTGACACACGCAGGTGCTTCCACTCTGATATATGTCCTCCTTCTCCTCCTTTGCTTCCTGCTCATTCTGCTCCTCATTGTTTCCCCTTTACCAGACCCCCTCCACGCCTACTTGGGGCTTTGCGGTCTGTCTCTGATCGGAGAGCCCAACCTGAGGAAGGTCCACCCAGCTCTTAACATCACCCAGAGAGCCTTTGAGCACCTCCAGCAGCTGCAGCAGACATGGAGGGACAGCACCGGCAGCTGTAGCAGACAGCACTGACAGCACGGTGATCCACAGCACTGCCTCGGAACAGGTTCAGTAATGAGGAACATCTAACGGTTATCAGTCAAAGGCAACTGGACTTTTTGCTGTGTGTCTCCAAGACGTTTGGCCGCTTCTCTGAGAGGCCTTCTCATTTCAGGAATCAAGGAGTTGTTTTTTTTTTTTTTAAGACTCTAGTTACAAAGCAGTAACTTTGGGGAGCTCCTTTAAAATCCATCTAAAGCAACTTTTCCTTTAAAGCAATATCCGCCACACTCTTTCGCTGCCTTTTTTTTTTTTTTTTTTAAATTAGTGCACAGTCGTAAATAGCAGTGTGCAATGTGGTTTGTGGGAATAAAATGATGTGCCAGAAAGTCAAATATGAGTCACTGGAAACTTGAAGAAAATCCAGATGCCTCCATTTTGCAAACTCTTTAGATAATTGCCTTTTGAGGTTTCCTGCTCATTAGCCTCATCGCTATAGGTAACAACACCGTCCTAGCCAAGGATCCACACGACTGTCTCACTTCAAGTGGACATAAGAAACATCCTTTACGTGAATTTTACTCACGATTTGAGAGAGGAGATCCCCAGGATGCTTAGGGAACGTCTAAACTGTCTTTGTAAATGGGTTTGCACTGCAGGAAACTCACTGTCTATGGTTTTGCTATTGCCTAATAACGTCCCTATATTTTAAGCAAATATCATTTGGTCATTTTGTGAATGTGGATAATAAATGGTCTTATTTTTGGTTCAAGACAGATAAAACAATAGAAGACCCTCTCCTTCACAGAGCAGTGTTTTTGGCTTTGCAGCTCTCCTGACATTTCCATCCTCACATTACTTGTGAACCTCTTTCAAGCCTCAAGCTCTCCGCTCCCAGAAGGGTTAGCAGCCTGGCAGGTTTACTCTCCTGGGCTTCTCACTTCAGCATCCTCCAGTTTCACCACTGCAGGCGTTTGCTCAGTGATCAAGATTTAACTGATAATAAAACTGCTTGGATGAAATTTATGGAAGAGGCAGTTAAAAGCCGACCACCTAAAGGGGCAAATTTATGTATGACTTCTAAAAAAGAAGATTTAAAAATAAACGTAGCTACAGGCCTTATCAGAAAAAATAATATTTTGTTTGCGTTTTTCTTAAGGCTAAAAGAAAAATGGATTGGGCCTCTTAAGGGAATTTTGTAAGAAGGGGAAAATCCCTTCCTTCCTGCAAGGCAGTAGCTGTTAGCTGTAGCAGCAGATCCCATCCTGACACCCAGAGACTCCTGCGCCCCCTGAACCGATCTCACTAGCTTCCGTGCTCCCTGCGAGGCACTATCCAGCCTCAAATCAATAGGAGAGAGATGCACAATGGTATCCTAACTTGAGGAAATGTATTCCTTTGAACTGCGCTGGGAATTCACATGTTATTTTCAGTACAAAGAGGATGCAGGGCAAAAACAAAGAACAATGACCATGAGCAGATTGTACCACCAGGAGTCAGGAAACAGAAACATCTGTTATCCCGAGTGCTGGTCACATCACTCCTAAAATACTGAACGTGGTTTGCAGTCCTGCCATCTATCCCCCCCCCCCCCCCCATCACTGAGGCAGAAATAGATGGTCTGCACAGATGCTCACATGCATCAAAAGCCACTTGCAGTTCATTCAAGTGACCTTCCTGCCTTCTTGCCCTTGACCTGAGATACGAATCTGAAAAAAATAGTTTTAAATTTCCCACTATGGTGACGCTGGACTTCCCAGTTGAACTCAGCCTGCACCTCTTGCCCTCACATCGGTTCTGCTTCCCAGCAAGCAGCATTTCCAGCTGCACAGATTTCTGCAGCCCCCTGCCGAAGCCACGCCCTTCCAATATATAGCTGCTGTCTCAGCCAACACCTGCTCCCTGAGATGATGAGTGAGGAGGAAACAATTTCACAGCAGGTCTGAAATATAGTCACCTGCAGGAGTTTACTGTGTGTAGCCCCACTTCTGACTGCTTATAAAGAATGCTATCACCCCTGTGGTTTTCATTCCACCGTCTAAAATAAAGCTAGTCTTCTTTCCATTCCCGCCAAGCTGCCCTCCTTTTCAGACTCGGGGAACCAAGACCAGGCAGACGTAGGAAAGGAGAGAAGAGGGGAGGAGAGGTGAATAAATAAATAATCTGAACCATCTATTATTAAAAGTAAACTGTCGGAGGCTGAAATCTCCTCTCTGAACCCAGACCAAACCCCCAGTGTCATATAGCCTTGTTTTGGTGCAAAAAAAAAACAATTGCTTTTAAGCCAATGTGATGTTGAAACTCTGTTACTTTATATTTCTGCTTTACCTGAGTCAATAGGCTTTGCTACGGTTACTCTTGTTGATGTTTTCTCAAACGTTCTGTTGTTCTAGAATCATTTTATCGACGCTGTCACCGTTCTAGTCAGGTTTTTGTATAACCATCTTTTTCAAACGTTGCAGCTGCTAGATTGAGCCTCAGACACAAATGATCTGATCATTTAAATTCAAACGAAATGTGCTTTTTATTGATTCATCACATAATATTGTTATGATACTAGATGGTCTTGAATCTGAAGTAAATGCATGTGGTCTTGAGTTAAACATGCACTGAAAGAAAAACTACTGCTGCTGCTGCTGCATCATCACTGCAGAGCCAGATCAATGGAAATGCTCTCGCGTCCCATGCATCTTCTGACGTGACATTTACTTCTAATTCAAGTTCCTTAGGCTGCATCTCTGTCCTCAGTAGGCCAAGTCACACGGCAAGATAACTCGCTCAAACTTGACTCTGAAATGTGCCTCATGTAGCATTGTTCTGGGTCACTGCTCTCTGAATGCTCCCGTTCTTCTGACGTTGCAGCAGCAAATTGGGTTTAGCTCGGCTGTTTCTATCAGCAAAGGTACTGAGCGTCAGCGTTGCCTAGAGATGAAGGAGGAAGCGTGTGTTCTAAATGCATGTAAATATTCAGAAAGAGGAACCCTGTAAACAGTTTTCCTCCTCCCATCTTTGTTGAATTTGCTTATACGATCAGATAAAAGCGGGCGGGTACAAGTCGTTTCTTACCGGAATCTGGCTTTGTCCATTCATGTCTGATTGCTTTTTACCAGAAGGAGGGAAGAATTCATTGAGACAGAACCCATAAATGCTTACTCGACTTTAAAAACAGATTAATGGTTGAATGCATGGGTCTGCCACTTACTGCAGATGCTATATTGCGTCTGTTATGTTGTTTTTTTTTGCCACATCGCACTGCAGTCGACGCTCTCAGTCCCACAGCACGAAAAGACCACAGGGACCACGGCTTTTGCGCTTTAACTATAGCTGCAGTCAAAGCTGTTTTTCGGATCGTCCAGAGATGTGAAAGGATAGTATTTTGAGATGCAGCCAAAACGCCACACATGGTGAATCATGAAACCTTGCTCTATCGTCAATTAATATAAATAATGTAATGATAGATAATGTAACAATAAATGTAATGGAATTTATTTTTTCTATGCTTTGTAGAAATATTGAGTGTAGATACATATGTAAATGTCTATAAATATGTGACTTTTATTGTGCAAGTGCTCAAGAAGAAAAAAAAAATGTTTACAGCTACATCAGTGAGACGGACAGAGGAAGTGGATATGCAAATGTTGGCATGTGATGTACTGTAGTACTTCAGCTTTGAATTTGGGGACAGTGATGATTCTAGCTTTGCAGTGCGAACTGTATTTATGGTAAATAAAACATGTACTAACTTTTACAGTCGTTTCGGTGGGTTTTGTTTGTGTTTGCTGTTGTTGTCATAAAGGTCTTCATTATGCTTAAAGGCTTAAAGGCAGCATTGAAACATGGTGTTCATCGCCTTTGGAATATGAATGTGTGCAACCAACCAACTCATGGCTGCTAACCTTTTTGTTTATGTGATGTGCTAGGTGCAAAGTTGGGTTACTGAAAAGCTCACAAATATATTTAGATTCATCATCTCAGGTCAATGCATATCCACAGCAGATGTAAAAGTTTAAATGATTGTTTTTTTAATGTCTTCTTGTATGCTGAAGTGTTGTTTAAGGAAACGGGTAAAGGCTATGGGGTCACCAAATTCAACTACAATCAAAACCGAAATCTTAATTGCTACAAAAAATGACTTGTCCCATATATTTGCAATGTATACAATCAAAATTGATCACTAGACCCAGATAACAAACGAAGATTAATGGTTTCCTTGAGACGTCCTAAAAGTGAAGTAATCATCCTCCTGGGACCATTAATACCCTTTTAGAAATGTCATACCTGTCTGGCAGTGTCTTCCTGTCGGTGCTACCTTCAGGCCTTCCTTCTGTTGTAGAAAAGCTCTCAAAGAACTCAATAGCTCAACCTGCACTTTCATTTAAGGAGAACTTGTTGGACCAAATTGCTCAGTTCTGCTTTGTGTTTCCATTTTCCAAAGTCAGAACGATCGAATGTAGGTCATAGAAATGACAACACAGGTCATTAAAAAGTTGGCACAAGTCTCCAGACTGTGACGGTTTGCTTTACAACTGTCGGCACTTTATTAGTCACAGCGTTTATATAAATACAAGCGATGCACAATAGCTCTGCAGTTACCACTTTAAACCCAGCTCTCCCTTCTCTGCTGTCTCACAAAGCTTGCTAGCCAGTTGTGCAATACAATGTGGCAGGAAGAGACACAGTGAGTGATTTATCAAACACCTGTTGATCTAGTAAAACAAAAACTTCCCCCACAGTCAAATCACTGTCTACAAAACCAAAAGAGCCCGCTAATAGTTGACAGCAATGTTTGATAAATCATAAGTGACAGCGCTGTAAGCAGCCAGCCCCCCTCTGTGAGTACATTGATTTCATGCCTCCTTAGTGAGAAGACAGCGGAAACAAAAGCCCGGTTTGAGTTCAGGTGTCGGCTGTTCCCATAATGGTAAAGACCGATTAGAACATTTTCAGACGGCTAGATGAAGACGTTGCTGTGGTTACAAGTGATCAGAAAGGAAATATTACATAAATCAAAGCATTAATCTCCAGGCTGCCGCTGTAGCTCAACTGGTTGAGCTGGTGACCAATGTACTGGGGCTATAATCCCCGATGCAGTGGTTGTGGGTTTGAATCCAGCCCATGGCCATTTGCGTCAGGTCCCACCCCCATTCTTCTCACTACTGTCCTGTCAAATAAAGGCAAAAAAAAGCATGAATCTCCAACATGTATCTGCATATTTTCCTTCTTCGGTGGGCTTTTACTTTCCTGTATGCATTTAAAATGTAACAATATGATGCACCTTTTTTTTCCCTTTAAGACAAAGAGACAAAACAAATCTTTTCTCCTTTTGGTGTCTCGTGATTCTTGCAGCCCACGACAGCTGCTTCTTCACAAAAGGTCTAATTTCCTTTCACAGTAAGCTGTATGTGGCTCCATGACTCAACTGTTGTTGATCTATTTTTAAATTCAAAGATGACAACCGGTCTCCATTTTCTCTAATTTTCTTTTCCTTTTATGTTTTCTGCAACGTGGATGGGTTGTGCTTTGAGCAACACTGGCTGATGATGATTTTTTTTTTTTTCCCTCTTCTCTGCTAGGTCAGTGACTAACACATAATTAAAAGCTGTGTGGGGGGGGAGTTTCACTGGATATCACTGCATCGCACATGCAAAACACACACGTACAAAATCCCACCTGGGAGCTGCACAGGCACAGACTTCACTGTTGGCACCGACAGGGTAATGCGATCCAGACAAATTTGGCCTGGCGGTGCTCAGATACCCAATCTGGAGCCATCATAAAAATTTTAGCAGCAGTGGATTGTATATTTTGGGGATTTTTTGAGTTTAAAAAGGTAACATGAGGTTGGAAATGTATTTTTTCCCCCAGTGATTACAACCCAACCCTGACTGAAATTGTCTGGAGATGCTCCCTTGACAGCAAGTTGCAGCTGTAGATTGGGTGTGGTTTAGTCAATGGACAGCTTAGAGCTTTCTCTCGTATTACATCCACATATGTAACTGTGTATGTCCAAGAGGTGGCATGAAATCAACTGACTTTCTTCCAACCATTCAGTTCAGTTCTTTGCGGTGAAGAACTGGGGCCGCATCCAGTGTCATTTTTATTTATTTGACAAGCACATGTACTGTAGAGCCAGGGGACAGAGGACTTGATGTTTTCATTCTCTGTTGTTGTGACGCTTCTTGAATGGAACCGTTTCTACCACGCAAGTAGCTTGACATCATGTGATGTGGATGACTCATTTTCACTGATCCACAGGCCCTTTGGTGAACTTATATCCACATATACAGCAGCTACATTCTCTGCAGTTATTTAACTTGAATCGATTCTGCTTAGTAAAAACAAGCTAATCAATGCATTGTATTGATTATTCAGTCAGGTGGAGAGCACTGTGGCTTGGGTTGCTTTCAATGGGGCAACCAAGTGTCATCTCCACAGATATTATACATAAGCACTTGGGCTCAGAATGGACTGCTGTAAATCTGATGCAGACATTAATGGTTCCCAGATGCTGAATCCTAACTAATGACTGTGAATCCCTTGATTTTACTGGTGCCAGCATGAGGATCACTTTTAGGTTTGAAGTGGAAGTTTTGGATGAATTCCAATGGAATTTGGTGCCGACATTCACGTTCCCTTTTGGCTGATTTGTAGCTTTGGTAAACCCCAAATTTATCTTCCATCAAACTTTTGATTTGCCCTTTGATCACTAAATACTTGCACTGGATCATCTGTACTTTGTGTAAATTAGGAAACGTTACCATGGTCGCACAATAATAATAATAACAATACGATGGTGACATGTCTTATTTACAATCTTGCAGCCCAAAAGTTGATCTTAAAGATATGTTCCAACTGTTTTATTCTTAATGAGTAGGCTGCTGGTAAATGTTATCTCAATTATCAGTATGATAAATCTAATTTTCAGCTCCCATCTCACTCAAAATTGAAGTCAGGCTGCTACAGTGATGTCAGTTGACAGAGATCATCTCAGTGTTTGGGAGCTTTTTTGGAGACACAGTTATTAGTTTTGTCATGCTCCGTTTGCTCCATCAGGGCAGACTGCCCGTTTGTCCCCCCTCCACATGCTCAATGGGGTGGAATATGCCCGCATGAAGCCATGAGACCATCTGCTGACGCGGAACAAGTGGCATTGCCAAAAAAAAATTAAAAAACACCAAGTTAATCCGGCCACGCACTGTCCACTCGCATTCCGCTTCTGTTTCTCTGCCTCAGAAAACAAGAGGGCAACTCTCTCCCCCCCAACACGGAAAACAAAAAGCTCTGTTAGAACCACATATTTGGGTCGCAAGGACCAGAAATCGGTCCATAAAAGCAACGTATGCGCACACGGGCGCGCAGGCAGCCGTGCGTAAATGCCCAACTTGACTTAATGCGGCACTGACAGATTTAAGACCACCCCCTCCCCTCTTTCGCCCCCTTAATCTTCAGACTGAGATTATTACGATTATTTGTAGTGATTGATAGATTAACCAGCGCCGCTTTGATAGATGGCAGCGGATACAAAGAGCTCTGTGAGGAGAGACGTCGCCGCTGAGGGATGATGCGGGGAGAGAAGGAGGGAGATGGTACAGCGGGGATACTGAAGAAACGAGGGCGGGGTTTTCCCTCCAAAGATGAGGCTAACTAAAAATTTCAGAGAAAAAAAAAATAGCAGCCGGCGCATGTACTGTGGATTCTTCGGACGATCATACACGGAGAGAGAGAGAGAGAGAGAGAGAGAGCGAGAAGAGAGCGAGGGAGGGAGGAGAGAGGATGGTGATGTGGACCGAGGAGCGGCTCTTCCCTCTTGATCTTATCTCCGCTCCCCTGTGAAGCTGTCGATCCCTGTTTCTTTAAGCAGCTGAGTGGGGCTTTTTTTTCCCTGCATTTTTTTTTCTTAATACCGCCTTGTGCGCCTTCACCGGTGTGTGTATTTGTGCATCTATCATCATCATCATCACCATCATCTGCAGCCATGTCTGACTCCGAGGACATGACGGAGTTCGCCAGCATCGTGGAGCGCATCGAGCGGGGCGAGGTGAGTCTCATCCGGATGATTTATGGCTCCTTGTGACAGCAGCGGTCTGTCAGTCAACACGCTCCGGGCATCGGCAGCGGCAGGCCCGCATGACTGTCAGAGGATGGAGAGGCATCCTCACACACACACCTCCATGCTATTCTTTGTTAATTCTGTGCTGCTTTATATTGGCCTGCTCTGTGCTGATATTGGAACAAGATCTGAGTTATTAATAGGCCATCTGTTCTATTAATTACCCCACCTACAGTTAGATCCACAGATATGCTATTCTGCAGTCTAACCTGTATGCCTCTGCTATTCTACCCATTGCTTGGGAAATTAGTTCAAAAGTATTGCTTCAATCCTGCATTTCAGCCTCTTATATGCCTTTATTCCCTCCAAATGCTCAAGAAGATGACCTTCCCACTCATTTCTGCTTCTCTGTTCTATTCAGTGTTAAATGTCATTTCTTCTATTTATAGAGAAAAAAGAAGTGAGCATAATGAGTTTAATTAGTGGCTTTGCTGGGTGTAGTTGGATAGTGCTGCAGGCGGATCACAGACTTCTGTCAATATGTGGGACACTTGGCAGCAGCTGTGTGGTGAGACGGGGCACTGGGTTACTGAGGTGTGTGTGTGGACGCATGGGGGAAGAAGGGGGTCGCTACTCATTCCACCCATTTCATGACTGACAGAATGCGTTGAAATGTATCCGACCCGCTCACACGATCTCTGAGATTCGTTCACGCCTGCATGGAGCTATATGGGTGTATGTGTGAGATGCACGCTCGATTGATTTACGGACCAGCTACAGTTGCTGAATTCAGTCATATTTTACAATGTAATCATGGCTGTCTTGCAGAATGAGCAATATGTGGTGTTGGAATGAAAGAGAATTAGGATGCCAGCAAATGTGAGCGCAAAGTCTGACAGTAGACTTATTGTGGGAGATTCTTTGTTGAGGTTCTTACTGTGGACTGCAGTGTACAGCACAAAAAGTCAATGTAATGTGTGTTTCTTATAGCTGTGAAACGGTTAAATAGATTCAGCAAATTTGGGGTTACATGTTGTGGAAATGCTCCAGATATTATACAGTTCAGGAGTGAAAATAGATCCATTCTTAATGAAGTTGTCAGAGGGTGAACTCAGTCACATCGATGCAGGATGCACCCTGGACTGGTTTCCATTCTGTCACATGGCTGTCACATCCCGACAGACAGCCGTTTATGATCACATTGACACCTGCAGGGGATTTGGAGGTCAGTTAACCTGACTTGCATGTTTTGTGACGTGTTGGAGGAAGCACAAGGAGAACGTGCAAACTCCTGTCCGACAGATCTGAACCCACAACTTTCTGTCTGGGAAGAAACAGCAAGACGATACTGTCCGCAGTGTCACGGTGCCACTGCAAGTTCTCCACCGACACTGCCCGCATTGTTTGCTGCCAACAAATGCTGCTGGAAAAGTGAATGACTCAACAGAGTCCTAAAGATGCCAGCAGCGCCTTTAGTGACTGCACACACGTTGGCCGGCAGATCATCTTCACACGTTTCATTCACTTCATTCTGTTCTGTGGCACCGAACTGTAAATTTTACACTTTACCACCTTAAGAAATCACAGCCCCCCTCCCCCAAACCCCCCCAACAAGCTGTTACACGCTCCATTTTGTTGTCTGACCAAAGTGTTGTTGGGTTGACTTACAATGCGGCCCCAGTGCACAATAAAATTAATTGCAGACCTTACCAATAACCACTGCAGCAAGCAATTACCGCATCGTAAATCCCCTGAAATAAAGGGAGGGCCCCTGACATCAGAGGAGAGTGTGAAGTGAACAGAAGTTGGAGTCAACATGGGCCCCTTTGTGCCTCAGTGTTGAATACAGTAGCAGAGTGTCAGACTGGAGACTGTAAAATCCTCCGCTGCCTGTTTCTCTATTAATACTAACCAATGTTTTGCATGAAACTTGAGAGTTTCTGCGTAAACTTTATATATTTTAAGCACTGATACTTATAGACTCTTCAATCAGCAGCCCGTCCTCGGCAAGCCAAGATCAAGTCAACCCAACTTTTTGATGCATTGTCAAACATCTTGTTTAGGTTTTTTGCCGCAAGTGCAAATATTATATTTCATGCTGCAAACCCTGCAATCTGCACACACAAGGCCTTTTACCGATTTCCGATATCTATTGAAACTTCCTTCATTTTTCCTTTATCTGTGACTGTTTTTGTTTGCATGCACCCATCCAAGACGTCCTTGTGATGCAATCTGGCTTTCTGTGGTTCAGTCAGCCACACTGGGCCTAGACTAAAACATCTCAGCAAAATGTCATGACATTGTGCACAAGCATTCGTGGTCTCCAGAGGATGACGCCTAATGACTTCCACCAGCACGTCGATATTCATGCTTCAGAGTAAAATACCTCTACAGCTATTGAACAGATTGCCGTGAAATGCAGATACTCACAGTCCTTAGAGAGTAAATTCTGCTGACCTTGTTGCCCCATAGTTGATAAATGGTTGACAACTTTGGCTTCCCCTTGACCTTTTCTTTAGTATGTAAAGCAGGTCAAAGTGTTACACAGTGCCTACGCAGTAAAATAGCTTCACATTTATTTTCCGGCCCGTTTAACCAGCCTCTTGGTTCAGTGTGATATATTTTATGAACCCACACCCAGTGGATGAAGTCTGCTTCCTTTGGTGATCCAATGACCTTTGATCTAGTTCCACAATCAGGTCAAAGTTAAATATCCGAAGGTCTTTTAGATGGCCTGGCACAAAAGATGCTACAGACATTCATTTTGCCCTCAAGACATCACAATAACCTTGGAGAACATCTCCTCTATTTGTCCTGTGCTTCAGTTTTGCAGATATTTGGTCACAAACCAAAGACATTTCCATGAAGCTTAGTTGTATTTTTGTCAAATGTTAATTAGATCATCTTGTTAACATGTAACCACAAATCTGATAGGTCGTGTTTATTCTCTGAAACTCAAATATCTAAGTTTCAGTGAATGCAACTGTAGTGTTCAAGTGTAAGTCATTGCACCATTAGATGGCTGTAGCAGCTCAGCAGTAGTCAGTCGGCTGTTTAGCTCATCCATAAACATGACAGAGAGCGGAAAATGCACCTTTTGTATGCCTTTAGTTTAGTCGGTGGAGGCATGCATACAGACCTGAAGACATTTGCAGGAGCAGAGGTTTAGTTTGTTGCTTCTAGGTGTTTGCTGAAGTCTGAGTTCTTTACAAACCTACAGCATTAAACAGCAGCAGGATCCATATGACTGTCTCCAAAGCAATAAAGGTGCCCACATTTACAAACAGCACAACAACTAAAATAACTCTATTAAATATTTATAATCAGAAATTATTCCCAACATGAACACAGGATCGATCAGTATCTAACAGTAAATTACATTTTGTACTTTTCATGACGAGCTGTCACAAACGGAGTCCAAGTTTATAAACTAGAATTAAATCAATCCTGAGTCCTGAGCTCCATCACAGCTGTAAAACTAAGATCCATTTAAGAAAGTCGAAATATATTTTTGTGATGCGAATTTCCGTTTTAAATCAGGATGTTTGCAGCAGTCTTACTTTTGTGTGTATGCACGGGTTTTAGAAGTGACCTTTCTAATAAGTACACTAACTACCATAATGTGGCAACAGGTAGCCGAGGAACAGTGAACACACTCGTTCTAACATAAACTGCTGTAGTTTGGTAAATTATTATCACACATGGGCAGAATTTTCAGTGATGAAATCATAAATAAACTATAAACTATGGGTGAACTCTCTTCTCATGGGCTATTTGTAACCAAAATCCCATCCATCCATTATCTATACACCGCTTAATCCTCACTAGGGTCGTGGGGGGCTGGAGTCTATCCCAGCTGACTCAGGGTGAAGGCAGGGGACACCCTGGACAGGTCACCAGTCTATCACAGGGCTACACTTAGAGACAGACAACCAAGCACACTCACATTCACACCTACGGACAATTTAGAATCACCAATTAACCTCAACATGTTTTTGGACTGTGGGAGGAACCCGGAGAGAACCCGGAGAGAACCCACGCTGCACGGGGAGAACATGCAAACTCCACGCAGAAAGATCCCGGGTGTCCTCACCGGGATGCGATCCGGCGACCTTCTTGCTGCGAGGCAACGATGCTAACCACCGACCCACCTTGCAACCCTATTCGTAACCAAAATGCTCAGCTAAAATAACCAAAGTTACCAAAACAACCACAATATTAGCTTTACCTGTTACAGTCTATACACAGCAGATATTGACAGCCACTATAGAAACCAAAGTATACAGCGCATTCTGGTGAATTCTAGTTAAGATTTGAAGTGAACTTTTTCGCTCCCCCATGAAGCTTTGTTGGGTAAAAAACAAGCACTAGTTGTTGTCATGCACAGTCCCTCCCATCTCAGCCGTTAAAGCTTGCACCTCCTTCAGAGGAGTCAGAGGTGTCTTGCTGGCAACTGTCACTGGTCACTCAGTCTTTGAGGATGGCCTACTTAAGCAGATTTACACATGTGCCATATTCCTTCTATTTCTGAATTATGGATTTAACTGTACTTCAAGGAATATTTCGAAGAGGAACAGGAAGAAGCCTTTATTGCCACAAATACATCACAGCACTGTGATATACAATACAGAAATATGATATCCCAGTTGTGGTCAGAGCACGGGGTCAGCCATGATAAGACGACCCTGAAGCAATATTCAGTGACTTGGAGATTTTCTTGTATCTCTTCCATGACTTGTGTTTTTCAATAGTCTTTTCGCAGAGTTGCCTGGAATGCTTTGGATTTTGTTTGGTCTGTATAGTGTAGTTAACTGACTCACCAGTGACTGGACTTTCCAGGTACAGGTGTCTTTATATGACAACCATTTGAGACACACTCGCTGCACTAATCTCCATATTACTAATTGTGTGACTTATGGCACCAAGTGGCAACACCTGTGTTAAAGCAGGTGAGTCACTTTAAAGGGAGGGAAGTCTTAAGCTACGACTTTTTTTTCTCTTTTCTTTCATAAATTCTTGTCAAGAAAACCAAATTAAATTGATTCAATGTTGAAAAGCAGTGACAGGGGAAAACTACTGAGGGAGTCAGGAGAATATGTTTTATAGGCACAGTGTCAGCATGCAAATGATGAACAGTCGTCCTCAAATGTATTCATACCCTCCCATTAAAGAAAGAGAAAAACAGCTGAAATAAGTTGAAACTGACAAAAGTAATAATAAATAAAAATTTACTGAAAATCATGACATTGTGGTTTAACAGAAATATTGAAAAAAAACAAACAAGCAAACAAGCATGATGTGACCTGTAAACTAATATTTAGTTGAACAACCCTTTGAGCCAATCACTGCAATCAATTGTTTTCTGAAACTCTCAGTCAGACTTCTGCACCTGTTGACAGCTATTTGGATTTCACTGCTCATCAGCAAAGTGCTCTAATTTGTTCGGGACAGTTTCTATTCTTTTTTTTGTTTAATTATTTTTTTCAACCTCAATTCAAAAGCAACGTCTTATTTCACTAAATTACAATTTAGCAAATTTTTATTTGTTATTATTTTTTTCAGTTTCTAGTTATTTCAGTGACTATTGTGAATTTTGCCTTTTCTTTAATGGAAGGATATGAACACATTTGACTGTAACCTTGTATGACTTTTTGTGTTTTCTCAACCCTTAATTTCAGTTACTGCTATCTGGCTCATAACACTGCTTCTTATTTATCTTGTTACACTTCATACATACCTTAATTTTACTTATTTTATTTATTTATTTTTTGCCCTGGTGATGGCGGTGCGAATAGATGCAGCGGCCCCATTAGGAGTATGGTCCTCCAGCTGCAGTATGTCAGACAGAAAAGCCCTGCAGAGGATAGGTAGAGGAGCTGAGAGGGTCATCGGAGTTTCCCTCACCTCTGTCCAAGAACTTCTCCAGAGTTGCTGCAGGAGCAGGACCCTGAACGTTGTCAGGGATTCCTCACACCCTCTCCATAAACTGTTTGAACTGCGACCATCAGGCAAACGTTTCCGGAGCGTTAAAGGAAGAATCTCCAGACTGATCAACAGCTTCATTCCACAAGCTGTCAGAATGCTGAACTGCTGATCCCGACATTCAGATTCAGATTTGTTTTATTGTCATTGTAATGCGTGCAATGAAAAGTAAGGTGCCTTTCAGTGCAAAAAAACAAAATATAAAAACTTATAAAACAACTATATACAATATAAAAGAATTACAAAAAAAATAAAGAACTCTATATAAAAAGATGAAATTAAATAATGAGCAGAGTGGATACTGGACAGAGGTAGTGGAGTTGTATACTTACAATATATTGCACTTATTGCAACAGGGAGGCATTTATGGCTCTGACAGCAGTTGGAAAAAAAGCTGTTAGTCTGTTAGTCCTGGTTCTGATGGCTCTGTACCGTCTGCCCAATGGCAGTAGCTCGAACAGGAAACGTCCCGGGTGGTTAGAGTCCTTCAGGATGGTGTTGACTCTCCTGAGGCAGTCAGAGCCATGAAGGTCCTCCAGTGTGGGTAGAGGGCAAACACTTGTTTATTTAGATTGCTTGGATCCTGAAGAATCGCTCTCTCATCTTGCCTGTACTACTGTGTATGTACAGCGAAATGACAACAAACTTGATTTGATGTGATACCACTGGCAATACTTCTTAATCTATATGTTACTATTATTGTTAGGCACAAAAACAGTGGTTCTCAAACTTTTTAAACCACGACCCCCACGATAAAATAAATTTGTGTTTGTGACCCCCCCAATTTGAATTTTCAATTTATAATATGTTGTTCATGCATTAATGCGTTAAAAATTAATGTGTTAATTCCACAGATTAATCTCTTTACATTAACCCACATTAATTTTCTTTTATATAAATGAATGAATTGAATTTATTCTGAACAAATGAAAGGGAAAAAATATATAAAAACAAAAGAAAATGATTTTTAAAAAAGAGCAAATAAAAATAATAATATCGCATTATCAAATCATAATATTTGAGAAAGGAGCGGGAAAACAACAGCAAAAAAAAAACAAAAACAAAAAACTCCTTCTATAAAGTCTGCTCCAAAAAGAGCTACAACATCATGACACCATCAATAAACAAGATTTTTGCACAATAAACTTCCACCATTGCAGACAGCAATAATATTTGGAAAGTTGCAAATTATTGATTTTCTGTTGCTCAGAATTTGGTCTGTGTGTGCACTTAACCAATGAAATTTCCCCTCCACCTGTTGTTACTTTTAATTTTGACAGCCCTAACACACATTTATTTGATAAATGTAGGCTTTACTTATATTTTGTATTTTTTTTTGCAATGATCTGGCGACCCCCTGATATTATCTTGGAACCCCCAGTTTGAGTCCCCCAGAAAACCACTGCACTAAAACACCAAGCCAAATTCCTTGTATATATATAAATAAAAACATTTTTAAAAAACCCTTCTTGGCAATGAATCCTGTCTGGTTCTGATGATGAACTCTCATATTGACACAGTTTCCAACTTGCCTTTATGCAGCCACAACAAAAAACATAATGGAATTCCTCAAGTTCAGTTAGGGGGGCTTTTGTTTAATTCTGTGCCACCCCATGGTTTCCAGTCGCCCCATGTGGCCACCCCCTTATAAAAAAAAATGTGGAGAGGCCAGTGCAGCCAAGTCGACTAAAACTTTGCGATCACTGCAACATAGTGCAGATTTTTAGCTGGATGCAAGAAAACAATCCTCTGTGCTTGATAGATTTAAGTGAAGTTTACGTGTAGCACATGAATGCAGCATCAGTTCCTCCCCTTTCCTCTCTCTCTCTCTCTCTCTCTCCTCCCCCTGCGCGCTCTGCAGCACAGAGGCGGCTGCTGCTGATTCACTGCCTCTCAGCAGCGTCACACTATTTAAATTCACTCCGCCGTCGCTGTCGGCATCTTCAGCTCGGGAGGAAGTTTGGCGTTGTTGAGTCCCAACAAGCAAAACAAAAAAAAGAACGCCGGTTCTGGTGTTTTTTTTATTATTATTCCGGCTTGTGTTCAGTCTCCTGAGCATGTCTGCAGAGATGCGGCGCAGCAGCAGCACGATTGCGGTAAGTGGGAGGAAAAAAGTAGGAGATTTATGGAGTTGATTTGCGGCTCGTCATTGTCTCGATGCGTCTAAAGAAGCGCAGGAGGAGGAGGTGGTGTGGGGGGTAAAGTTAGTCCTGCTGATTTTAGCTCCTTTTTTTTTGTTTCATTTCTCCTTCTGGATTTAAACACGTGCGGAGGCGTTTTTTTTCTTCCCTTAATGAGTGTTTGTGGAAGCAGCAGGAGTGTTGACTGACACCAGCTGAAATGAATGAACAATCGGTCGTCGCATATGGGAGCCCCAGTCCTCCATCTGGGCCCTGGTGGACGCGTTTTTTCTAATCGTCTTTTATGTGCTAAAACGTGAGCTGCTGGAATCGAGTGTTTAACTGTTTCTCTCTATATTTAGCCGGGCTTTAATCCTGGCTTATGTAATGTATCAGAAACATGGTAAAGACACTGTTGTTGGCTGCTGCTACTGGGACTGAGTCCATTATATTAAAAGTGGATATGAAAGTGTGCTCAGGTAGGAGAAAGAGGGAACTTGCATGTAATAAAAGAACATTTTCTCTCCTCACTGACACAGAAACATGTTTTCACAGTGCAGACAATAGCTCTATTTTAGTTGTAAAATGTCCTAATAATAGGATATTGTTAAAAAAAATCAAAGAAAGCTGCATCCTCGCCTTTCAAGCTCTTTATCCCCAGACAGATCTTTGATGCTATTTCTGCTGTTCTGCTGTTTCTAAGTCGTCTTCATAAAAGTGCAATTTCTCAGTCATCACGTCTCCATCCCCAGGTTCCGATCAAGAACATCGAGAGGGAGCTGATATGCCCGATCTGCAAGGAGCTCTTCACCCACCCGCTGATCCTGCCCTGCCAGCACAGCGTCTGCCACAAGTGTGTCAGGGAGCTGCTCATGATGAACCACGAGGACTCCTTCGACGCCGGCTCCGAGTGCTCCCTGCCGGGCAGCCCCAGGTCCAGGGTGCCATCCCCCTCCATGGAGAGGCTGGACAGGCTCGTGAGATCAGGTGGGTCTCGGGGTAAGGAACCGAAAATATTTCTTCTCTCGGTAGATGGGATAGACGCTCTCCGGACGAGAGGGGTTTTGTGTGGAGCTTCTGCAGGGTTAAAAGCTTTTCTATAGCCTGTATGCACATTGCAGCCTCATTATTAGAGCTGTTGTGATGGAGCTAATAACAGCAGGAAATGCAAGTATCAAATGCATCTGTGGTAATTTGTGGGGACTTCCAGGGAAGGCAACATGAGTAATGTCGACTTTGTGTTGCAGTTTCTTCCTCCTGATTCCCTCAACTTCAGCTTTTAGTTCTGCGGTCATGCAACAGGTTTCAGTGGCTGCAGTCAGTGATTTACAGAAAAGGACGGAAGATTTCTAACTAAAGGAAATGTGTGATACAAACAAAACCCGAGGCTGTATTTTATTACCTATCAAACAAAAGGGCAGCGCTGTTGGGATGAAGACTGTATGGCCCAATAGGCAAATCTTTAGCCGATGCAAATTAGTGGTCAAGAGTGAACAAGCTCATGGAAACTCTGAGGAAGGCTGAAACTGGGCCAAGCGTTATTGTATATTTGGGTGTTAGTGTGGCGCAGACACTGCCCCTCCTCCTTGTCTCGTCCCAGACCAAGTGAAACCGAACATGAAAATGATTTTTAATAGTTTCCTCACTCAGCCATAACTTCGTCCGTCATCTCTTCTTCTAACAGATTTCATTAGGAGGAACCTGACAAGCTGTAGTTTTTGTCTACAAGAGAAAAGAGCCGTTGACAAGCTCTCTCAAGCCCTAATTGTCTCCGCTGTCTGCCTTTTGGTGGCCCCGGGGCATCAAACATCCCCTTCAATCACGCAGGGGCTCATGTGTTCATTTGAAAAATTGTCTCAGGAGCAGACAGACGTGTAGCTATCATTTACACTCCACCTTTAATCGGATATACAGGCATGTGTGTTATGTACACACGACTGAACAAAGCGTATCTGTAAGCTCCTTTAAGGCATTTTTAAACTCTTAAAACCAAGCTGAGCTGCAGGGAGGGAAAGCTGTGGTTGAGGCGGGGGGCGTGCAGGTGGCTAAATTTACTTATATTTTTTTAAAGAAACTTCTCCGCTCAACAGATTGCTGCAGCTCAGGCTCCAGCAGGTCAATGTCTAAGCCTTGAAAACAGCACGGTGGGACACAAGGCTGCCTTTCTGCAGCCTGAGAGCTCCGGGCTACGAGCCACCTCCATAAAGATGCTGTCTCATTTACACTCTCGACCAGGCCGGAGTCGTGTCTGACTTACAAGCTAAATACTAATTCCAAGCAGGTTTTTGTGTTGAGACAGAGATTACCAAGAGAAGCTCCGATCTGAATCATTTTTTGCTCCTTTTACGGTGACGTTTAATTAGCAGTGATGTCTGCTGGTGCACATATTTTATCATCTTATGCAATGTTGGTTGCCAAACTTTAACATTCTATATTAACTGTGCAAGATGTGAAGTATGACAGTCGGTTTATAGTTAAAGCTGTTTATATATAATATGTGGTACTGAGACATAACTCAGTAGCTGCCAGTGAACATAAATATCTATTAAATCAGAGACATTGCAAGTTTTGATTCTGCTTGTAAGGGTTTAAATGCATTTAGAGCTGAAGATAAACGCTTATGCTTCAGTAGCTGATGCCTAAATTCATCCAATTTTTAGGCAGATTTTGAGTGATAACATAAAATGCACATAATACTTGATTTTTGACTGAAGCCTTAAGTAAATGAAGGTGCTGCTCACAAGTGGAAGTTTGGTGTTTGCATGAAAACACTACAGAGTTAAATATATCATATGCTTAATGTGCTGAATGGATTTGGGACATAATCAGTTGCACATGCTTGAGACCGAGTTCTATCTGGTGTTACCTGGTATTCATTTAAGTCCGATGCCTCAGAGCAACACTGAGAATCGAAGCCAGAACACCAGAGCAGAAATAAAAACAACCCCAGAGTACGGTGAGGTGAACAACTTTTTCTATTCAAAACCAACCGAGACTCTCGAGCACAGCCTCCCTCTTTCAGATTCCCCCCTCTTCAGCCCTGAATGAGTTCATTCTTCACTGGCAGCGCTGCATCTGTTGACGCAGGAAATAATCAAATCCTGCTTTTGGGTAAACAAATCTCACGTCTTGCCGACAGCCATTGTGTGCACAGGGGTAATTGTTGGTGTGACTTCTATATCCTCGTTCTGTTTGTATGTAAATTGATGCACAGTCACTGGCAGTATAGTTAATGCACTGTTAATTCAGTGATGAAGAAAACGAGTTAATTTAGTCGAGTCGTTCGCGGGTCCTGGTGCAAGTGGAATTCCCTCGAGGATTATTCTGCGAGGTTGTTCCCGCTTTAAGTGCTTTTAATCGGCACATTACGAAACGCAAATTCTCAGTGCGTTAAGAATATTTAAGAAGCCTCGAAGTACGTTATGAACATTAACTCCCAAACTAATTCCCCCGACTGCCTTCGCCACGGGGAGATCAGATCGTTGGTAGCCATGGTGACACAACCTGCCGGTGAGGAATGAATGAGGGATTAGATGAAGGCAGAGAAAGAGAAGACTTAAGGCTATATTTATCAGCTCGGACAAACCTCGCTGCACGGGGACAGAGGAAGGCGGCCACTAAAACTTCATCAGCATTGTTCCTCAGCTTCATTTTATTTTGTGTCACTGGAGCTCAAACAGTCTGATGTATAAATGTTCAACAGCTAACTCTTGATATGTGCACTTCAAAGTTGATGTAATTGCTTTTAAATTACTATTATTGAAATGTTGGGAAATGTGCTTGTTTGCTTGTCAGATTGACACCATTGTCGTGTAGGTACTTCTTTGTTTGCTAAATATGAAGCTAGGAAACCATTAGCTTAGCTTAGCATGAAGATCAAAAGTTACTCTTAGTTACTGTGGCTATGCTAGTCAAGCTCTTATCACAGTTTATAGCGCTAACTGGGCCAGTTACCACCAGAAAGTATTTCTAAAACACTTTCTTCTAAAATGCAGAGGTTGGCAAAAGCAGTTTTCTCATTTTAAACTGCCAACCATCTATTTTGACAGCTGATATCACCGTAACATTTTATCAGCTGCGGCTAGTTGGCTAATGAAGCTAATGTCAATGCTAGTGCAAGTTGGTGGAAAGACAGCGTAAAAGCATCTTAAATGCGTATGAGACGTCATAAGCTTCAAGTTCAGCAGGAGAAGCTTAGTAATTGATCTAGTTTGTTTAATCTGTGCAAAGGCTGGAAGTAGTGTAGTAGTGCTGGTAGGATGATGGTTGTAGCTTTGAAAAGAGCCAAGCTAGCTATTTGCAGTCGTAATGCTAACTGAGCTAAGCCGGCTATTTCCTGAGTTTAGTTTCATATTTTCCATGTAGGTATGACAGTGTTTTTTCTCTCAGCAAGTAAGTGAATAAGTATATTTCCCCAAAACTCCCAACAATTATAAATTGAACTTGTCCACCAGATAAATGGAAGAGGTCTAAGGAGCATGCCTGTGTTTCTGTTATGTGCTTTTTATTTTACAAAACACTCCTAAAAACTTTGTTAAAGACCCTCTCCAGTGTTTGATTAAATCCTAAAAACTCATCTGCTGTGTCTCTCTGAACCCTCGAAACCTGCGGGCAGATTTGTAAGCCGTGTAGTCTTTAAATATTTCCACAAAAAACCAACACCATCTGTCAGCCAGAACTACTTAACCAAACCTAATTTCACAATCATGTGCCATTTAAATAACTTTATTCTACATGTCTAGTTTGAGAATTTCTGAAAAAGTAAACTATTTTTCATAGCCATGTTCTGTAGAAAACTAAATCCAGACTACTGAGAAATCATGAGTGACTCGTCTACAACAGTCTTGAGACATAAATTCAGAAATTTTTTTGGTTGAACTGCAGGCAGTGTTTGCACAAAGCAGATAGGAGACAAGTATGGAAATAAATTTAAAATCTAAGTAATATAACATATGTAGAATTTCCACAGGAGGGGGTCTTTAAATTCTAAATCATGTTTATTTATGCTTCAAATTGGACCACGTTAAAAAGTGCATAAATGAAGAGTTAACTGTCCTTCAGTCACATCCTGTATGTGTATTTTAAATGCTGTTTTGTATTTCACTTTGAACTGCATTACCAGATTTCTTTTGAAACTCACTTTTTTTTTCTCTCTGTTTAACTTTAAGTTGGCTTTGTTGTTTCTCCAATGTCACGATGTTGGAAAAAGAAAATTTGATTCACACGTCACTTCACATTATGTATTGTTTCATTATGTTCTTGTTGGTCTCACCTCACTTCTCTGTTCATTGCTTGCAGCCACAGTGCGAAGGTCGTTTGGAAGTCGAGGTAGACGCGGGCTCCGTGTATTGAGTAGCTGTAGTAGTGAGTACAGTGCTACTAGAAACCCTTGTGACACCCTAGTTTGGTTCTACCTTTTTCTCTACATAGTCTACTTTAGCCCCTGTCAACACGACCATACAGACTCACACCGCCGGGAAGGGATTATAAAAGTAGGCTTTTTCTGGAGAGTTACTTTAGTTTTCTGCACCTACTGTTGTAAACCATGCTATTAATTTATTTCTAGAGACTTGATAAGAGGTACTAACACTTAAAAATGTCCACTGAGTATAAGTGTAATTTAAAAAAACTCAAATTGACAACAGATTTAGGTTAGGAAAATTGAGTGAAAACCTTAAAGGGACAATGAGTCAACATGCAAAAAGGCTTAAAGCAAACATGAGTCAGCATATAAGGAGCAAGCGATACCTAACGGAGGGACAGGAATTAGACGGAGGCCGAGTCCTGGACGGGGACGTTGCCCGGTGCCAAAGAGGAATTGAAAGGAACAAAGACTGAAATTAGTGCGAAAAGGAGTGAGGAAGTTTCCTAGGAGCTGAAGTGGAGTAGGAATGTGTGTGTGTGTCTGTACACTAGCTAAGCTTTGCATTCATTTCGTAAATCACGGTGGCAAGTAAAGCAGCTTTATTGAGATGGAGAACTGTAGGTCTCTGTTGTTTCTGAGTTAAAACACACACACCGAAGAAAAAAACCTACACAGTGTGTTTGGACTTGCCAAGATTCTTAACTGGGTTTTACTGACTGATATGTTTGCCTTGAGGGTACTCTTTATGCTTCACTTGACAATCATTAGTGTTTGAGAAACAGTTTATAAGAACACAGACCTGTTTGAGCGTACCTCTAATCATTTTGGGCTTGATGAATTAGGAGCCATCAAACTGCCGAGTAAAACAAGACCGAGCGTTGCTGATCTTGTCGGGCCAACGAATGCACTTATTTGACGTACTCTGTGGATATTTTTAAGAAAGTGTTGCTCTTTTCTCTGTTTAAAACGCAAGTGATAGATGTTTTTTCTATTTAACAATGTAATAAGACGTATTGTTAGGAATAATAATGATTAAAAAAAACGAGACGCATGAGAAAATAGGGATTTATTTTTCTTTAGCCTTTCAAGGAACAGATTAAAATCACATTCAGGTTTTTTTTTTGCATCAGAAAGGAGGAAGACCTTTATTGCAGTCGTACAGTTGGCTCTCCGACTGATACTGTCAGAACAGAATGTCAGGACCAATGTTTGGATGACATTCATCAAGCCAAAGTAAACGAGACTCCACAGATTTGCATTGGAAGATGGAAAAAAGTAAATGATTCGCTGTTCCTGGATGCACCACGAGATCCATCTTTATTTTACAAATATTCACTGAAGATAGTTACAGTAGAGGTGAATGCTAAATATGTTCATGTATGTTCACTGCAGCATACAAACGCAGTGCCAGTTAAAGCCTCACACTGTGTCTGAAGATCTCTGCAGGGGAATCGAATCACCTCCCTTCTGCTCTGCAGTGACTCGTCAGTTTCTCGCTTCGGCTCAGCCTCCCAATGCGGATCCATAAATCAACACAAACACACACACACACTTTGCTGCAGGCGACTCCTGTGTGCGTCTTGTTCGTTCACACCTTCTGTGAACCCGAGTCCCTACATGTCACACGCATGACTAAAGACGTGAACACACTCGCTGTCTTTGCAGGACAGAAAATGACCTTCTGCATCAGTCACTGGTTTAAATATGGAGGCTTTCTGCCAGACGTCTCCTCCTTTTCATCCAATTGCCTTAACAAGACCATGTCATCCTCATCTACATGATAAGCACAATGTTAGGTTCACCTTTGTCGAATGAATTCAGGTAGGAGAAGTTATCCATGTGCGGCAAACTAAGCTCAGTAGTTCAGACTTTACCTCCACATAGTGAACCGTCACTGCACTGTCACGGCCTTCAGTTCTGCTCACGTCACACGGCATGCACATGGCCACACACATCACATAGCTTCTGTTTGCTGTTCTGCCACTGCTTTTCCCCTCAGCTGCACCTTTTGTTGTTGTTTTTTTGTTCTCTTTGTTTTGCAGAAGTGTTGTTTTAAAAGAGCTTTCCTGTGTTTCGCCTACCTGAGGAGTGTTTGATTTAATTTTCAGGTCCTCGGAAACGGAGCGGAAACACTGGCTTGCAAACTGAGATAAATCGAGCACTCCTCGCTTCCCCTGTCCCCCAAAAACGTGAAGCAATATTTTTATTTTTGCGTGCTGGCTTTCAGTGTGGTAACCGTGTTTTTGACAGACCCTGCCTGTGTCTGTGATGTGTCGTCGTGTGACAGTTCCTCTGTGTCCACCTCGTGTCGCCGTCTTGTTATGATGCTGCCGCATCAGTAACAAGCACGATATTGTGAGAATCCCTTGAAAGCAGTGCTGCTTTAAGAGGAGATTTGTGGTTGTGTGAAAAGTGTTGATGCATTGAACTGGACATGGCATATTAAAGTTCAATTGCTTGAAATTTTTTTGATTTAAGACTTTGGCTTGATTTCTATGTCCCACAGTGTAATTCAGCTTCATTGCTTGATTCGAAAATGCTGTGATTTGTCATATTTTTTTTATTTTCTCAATCACTCATTTAAGAAACTAGAGTTCTTTCTTTCGTCCAGATCATTGTGAGCACCTCAAATACTCTTCACTCCTGTGTTAAATGTTGAATGACCTGGATTTCTTACTAAGACAGTCTCCATAAGCTCCGAGGATGCAACCTTCCCCATGACTATCCTCTATCTCATCATTCCTCTCCCTGCCCCAGTGCTCTTGGATGGTCTCTCTTCCTGGACTTTATTCCCTCATACATGACAACTACTCTATGCATTGCCTGTACTGGTGTTTTGCTCCATACGTCCATGCCTCCGTTGAGTAGTTGTCACAGTGGAAATAAAGCACAAAGGGAGACATGCTGAGGCCCTATTTATTAAGGCTTGATGTGTCCAAAGGCATTTTTGCCTTATGATCACACTTGGCAAGTCAGAGCTGATGATGTAAGGCTGCTTTTGTGAAACACAGCCCAGATTCTGTTGAACACAAACCGGGGTTCACGTTGATCAAAGCCCCGGTTTGACTCTCTTGGAAACTATTCCATCAGTGTAATTTGCAGTCATTGGACATTGTTGCTCTTATTTCAAAATAGAGCCTCAGACAAGACTATAAACTGGGTGACCCAAGGCTATGAATCCATGTTGCTCATGCCCTTTTCTCCTCCAGGTTCCATCTCGTCCCCGGGGTGGCGCCGAGGCTCTGTGACTCCCCGGGTCACCACCATCCCGTGCCCGGGCTGCCACCACGACATCGACCTCGGCGAGCGCGGCATCAGCATGTTGTTCCGTAACTTCACCCTGGAGAGCATCGTGGAGCGCTACCGGCAGGCGGCCCGCGCCGCCGTCGCCATCATGTGTAACATCTGCAAACCTCCGCAGCAGCAGGAGGCCACGAAGAGCTGCATGGACTGCAAGGCCAGCTACTGCAACGAGTGCTTCAAGCTGCACCACCCCTGGGGCACGCCCAAAGCCCAGCACGAGTACGTCGGTCCCACCACGAATTTTAGGCCCAAGGCAAGTACTACCGCTTTCTTTTAAGTTCATTCTTTTGTAATTATCTGGTGTTTTTTTTTTTTTTCAGACAGCAATCAAAATATGTTGTTTGCTTGCTTTGGACTATGAACATTACAGGAGATAAGCTGTCACTGTCAAAAACAGACTTTAACATGTATAGATTAGTCATCCAGCATGTTTAAAAGGTTCATTGAGTTGGAAATGTTTTGGAGTCAGTGGTTGGAAGTGAACATAAATCTCTCACTGTATGATTTTCACTTGAAACCATGGTTGTCAGTGAACCTAATAGCTGAAAATTTTGCAGCATAAAAGTTGCGTCAAATGTTCTCACGTTGATGCAGTTTAGTCAGAATAAACCCTTAATTATATTATTTTTTTCTCTACATCTTCGTCTGTTGCTGCATTATTGATCCAGCAATCTGACTTAATGATATTAAAATGCTCAGATAAAGGTCCAACAGATTTTAAATGTTGGGTTTTCATCCCTGTATCGCTTTGTTCTTTGCAGTTTTTTGAGTCCTTGTTGATCAAGCAGCTAAAGGTAGTCAAGTAAAACTTCTGATGGGGATCTTGGCGTAGAAAAGAAGTGCTGATTTAACTTCTATTTTAAGACACATCAGGAAACAGTTCACACTGAGCCGTCTACTGCCCTTTAGGCCATCTTCCTTGTTTCACTTCAGCTAGTTTTTTGATCAACCAGCGTGCAGTAATCTGTGCCGTCGAAACACTGCAGCTAAATGTGTGTTCATGCATTCTTTGGTCTAATTTTAAACTCCTGGTTGTTCTGGAGATTATGTAACCGTATAGTATGCAGCTGTGTGCAGCACTTGTGCCCATGACCAATTTGTCCTCGGGGACAATAAAGTATGTCTCATCCCAAATATCCCAGGTGCTCATGTGTCCCGAGCACGAGATGGAGAAAGTGAACATGTACTGCGAGGTGTGCAGACGGCCGGTGTGTCACTTGTGCAAGCTGGGAGGATCCCACGCCAACCACAAAGTCACCTCCATGAGCAGTGCCTACAAGATCCTCAAGGTAACACGGACGGACACTTTAGATCTTTTGAGAAAAGATAAGCTTTTGTGGGTGAAAGCTGAGCACACTGGACTTTTTTTTGTTATCTGCGATGCCTGAGTAAATCGGAGTGAAACACAAAAATGGCTTACGATAACAAGGATTAATCTGCGCTTGCACACAATAGCCAGTGTTGCCGGAGGCTTGAAGTAGCCACAGCCAAACAAAGCAGGCTTAGAACTTGGAGTTATTGATGTTTTTAGAGTGAAATTGCCAAAAACTACTATTTTATGATGATATTAAATTAGTAAAAAAACATCATAGGATTTGAAGAAGTGCATTTAACCTGACAGACTTTTACTGAGCAGGATGTTTTTGCTCATATCTGAACTATTTTAATCAAAATCCTTAAGAGAAAAAACACCCTACAGGTCCCTTGATCTCTCATCTCCTGCTGGAATATTAATGCCTGACCTGTACTTGCGCTCCAGATATCAATCTCTGTCTGGAAACCAAAACCCAGGCTGGCTAACTGGGTTAAAACTCACGTGTGGTCATTAGATCTTTACCACTCAATAGAATTAATTTCAATCAGTTTAAGTGTTTGGTTTAGCTTATGTGGAGACAAAAGCGTGAGGAGATGGTGCTTTAGGGTTGTGTGGTTTCTATGACAGCATCATGCAACACACAAAAAAAAAACCCTTTTAACAGAATAGGCTGTAATTGAAATTGAGTTTTAATCTTGTTGGCACGAACTTCTTCCAGTTTAAAGGTCCTGGTGCTGCGTGGTTCAGCAAGTCCAGGCGGAATCTGTGTGAAACTCAATACGCCGGTTTGTGTTGACACAAACATTGTGGTGCTTAATATTTAATGAGACACATTTGTTCGCCATTATTTTGTGTGCATTGTATCTTCAAATTGGTGGAAGGCGTATCGGATATCCTGAACAGTCCCGGAAAGCTTCGTCAGCCAGGAAATGGTTTGGGTTTCAATTACTCTGATGCGCACTAATGCACCGTCACGCTGCACGTGTGCGTCAGTCGGGAACTCCTTTAGTCAGTAGCTGCAGATGTGAATGTTATGAGACGTTGATGTGGCCCATGTTAGTGCTAATGCTTGGGTATGTGTAAGTAGAAGTGAATAAATCCAACTCTATTCCCCCAAAATGACATGTTTTCATAGAGTTCTGTGTGTGTGCATTATCTCTTGAGTCACTGTTGTGTAATCTCTATCTTGTTTGTCATCAGTGTTGTGTTATGTGTTCGTATCTCTGAGTTTCCGGCCCAATGAAACTCACTGTCAATGCTGCTGATCTGTTCTGTCACCAGGAGAAACTGGCCAAGAGTATCCATTACCTCATCAGCAAAGAGGACCAGGTCAGGACTCAGATTACTGAGCTGGAGGTGCTCATCAATCAGACCGAGGTGAGGGAGCTGAATCATGCTGCTGCGACGCCAACATCCTTTTGTTCACTCTTAGAATTTTGCACAATGCACTGCAGAGTTTTTAATTCTGCTTTCAAAATCACAGGTTCATTTTTTTTTTTTTCTTGCTCACACTTTTACAGTCTGCCAAAGGATGAAATTGCTCTGAAGTGTTTATATTCACACTGGTGCATTTAACTCATCAGTTAACAGGGAATTAAAAGGGTTTTCATTCAAGTCCTTTGAATAAAGCTGCTGTAAAGCGTTTTCTGTTAATTATTTCCACTCTCGTTGTCTCTTTTAACCTTCTAAACCTCCAAATCCAATGGCGGCTTTGACAGGCATGTTGTCTTTAAATACTTGCCTAAATTAAATCAGTTATCAGAGCAAGAAAATATAAAACATTTATAATCTGCTCTTCAGAATTTCTATGCTTCATATTGTGATATTTTATTAAAAGCCTTTTTTTCCCCCTACATGTCTCATTTAGGGGGGAAAAAGGCTCAAAATACACTGTTTTCAGGAACCACATTCTGTTGAAAAAAGCAAAAAAAAAAAAAAATCCTATGCACCTCAGTGACACAGTCGCGTGACAAAAATTCAGGGACTTTTTGGCTAACCTTGGTTGAACTGCAGGCTGTGTTTACAAAGAGCAGATAGGGGACAAGTATGGAAATCAGTTAACAATGTATGTAGTTAAGTTTCCTTAGTATGATGTGTCACCATTTTCTTCCAGTGCTGGTGGAAAGATACTGGAAAATAAAGTTGTTTTTTTCAATTTTTGGGAGAAAAATAATTACAGGAATTCTGTTTGTTGTCCTCAAAATCCCTTCATACTTCATGTCTCATTTAAAAATTCCCCCAAAATAAACTGTGTGCTCTAATGAGATTCTGTTAATAAGAACCAAGAAGCCATTAGTGACTCAACTGTGACCAAATTGGCATAACAGGCCTGTTTCCACTGAATTGCAGACAGTATTTGCACAGAGTATGGAAACAAATTAAACATGCAAATAGTAAAATGTTTGTAGTGTGTAGCATCACAATTTTTTTTCCAGTGTTGTCAGGTCCAGTATTTTCAATTCAACCATGATGAATTTTGTTATACTGCTGCACAAAACACATTGTGTGCTAAGTAATTGTGAGTTCTCTCTGCTTCCAGTCATGGTTATATTAAGTCTATTGAAGTACAGGACTTTTTGAAAAATGAACCCACAGTGAGTAAAAATGCGACTGGAGAAAGAAATCCCCCAGACACTGCTGTGGAGTCGGAGGCTTAAACCCCACCAACTTCACTTCTAAAGAGGATTCATATTAGTCATGCTAGCATCTTATAAAATGCTTAATTTCAGCCCTAAAACTGCCTTTGACTGCAGATAAGTCGATAGTTTGAGAAAGCACAACAAACGCGTGCCTTTTTAAAATAATTAAATAATGAAATAAAAACCAAATATTTATAAAGGTGTCTTGAAACCAGTTTGTTCGGTTGAGGAACCACTCGGAACAAAACTTACTCTGTGTACGAATAAGGAAGGTCACTAACCAAACAGTATGCAAACCACACAAACAAGGGAACACAGGATTTGGCTACTAGTTTCTCTCACGCATGTCTGGGTTTCAGACTCTGACCTTGTTCACCTTTTACTTTGAAGCTGTAGTCTTCAATACACAACCAACATCACACCTGTGGCCTCTGTAGGTTTTTAATTCAGCTTTCAGTGTCTTTCTTTTTACCACATATGACAGTACTGCTTTGTTGTACTTCCTAAAAGACGTGCTTGAATTCTCTCGACTTCTAACCGTGGTTGTGCTGTTTCCATAGATGTGCAGGACTTTATATGACACATGTACCTGTATGGGCAGCATTTAGTTTACTGTGTATTTCTACCAACCTCTGTGTTAGTCATGTATTTAAGAAGATAAAGTAAAACTACACCCCTTCTGTCACTGTTCCTCAAAAACCTTGTAAAGAGTAGGAACTAAGGAGAGGATTGTCACCAATCACATGGTCTTTAATAAACTGTTATGGTGATGTTCTGTGGCCGACTCAACACTTTGACTCCTCTGAGAATTTTTTATTTATTGTACCAATGTGTGTATATAGGAAAATGTATTTTCTTTGTACAAATTGACCAAAATGTTCTCTTCTCACAGGAAAACGGCCAGCTAGCAGAGCGTCGAGCCAACGAGCACTTTGAGCGTCTGTTTGAGACTCTGCAAGAGAGAAAATCGGAGATGCTGAGGTCCATCGAACAGTCTCGTAACCGTCGCCTGGACCAACTCAAAGGCCAGGTATAAAATGCCAGGATTGAATTTAATTTCTTTTTCATCTCCTCCACATTCATGCGTCTTTACTCATCATTCCAGGAGCTTTCGATGTCCATCAGGTTTGCATTAAACCCAGAAAAAAGGCTTTCTATGTACTTTCCTAGATCTGTCTGAAAAGGGTAAAAACAAGCCCTTTCCTCAAGATGATTATAATAACTGAATCTTTAAGTGCATTGACATTTAAGTGATATTTCACAGGTGGAGGAGTACCAGGGCATGCTGGAGAACAGTGGACTGGTGGGCTACGCTCAGGAGGTGCTGAAAGAGACCGATCAGTCCTGCTTTGTACAGACCGCCAAGCAGCTGCATGTCAGGTACACAGCAGAGCAACATTCACCTGATTGTTTATGACTGCTTTGACTTGATCAGTAATGGAGGTCAGCTTGTTAATATTCATTTCACTCAAATGGAAAAAGTTGAATGGCAAAATGTTAACAATAGTCTTGTATCTAAAACCACAGAATGGTATTTAGCATGCATCAAACTTTTACAAAATCCCCAAAATGATTTGTCTCAGTATTGATTTTAGCAATTTGTGTGATATGGAGATGCACAAATCAACTTGCTCTGTGGTAAAGATATTGCAGAGCAAATTAACTGAAGCATTATTGATTGAGGGCTGCAAGGTGGAGCGGCGGTTAGCACCGGTTAGCACTGTTGCCTCGCAGCTAGAAGGTCGCCGGTTCGTGTGAGGACACCCGGGATCTTTCTGCGTGGAGTTTGCATGTTCTCCCCGTGCAGCGTGGGTTCTCTCCGGGTTCTCCAGCTTCCTCCCACAAGTCCAAAAACATGTTGAGGTTAATTGGTGATTCTAAATTGTCCGTAGGTGTGAATGTGAGTGTGCTTGGTTGTCTGTCTCTAAGTGTAGCCCTGTGATAGACTGTCAGCTGGGATAGGCTCCAGCCCCCCCAGACCCTAGTGAGGATTAAGCGGTGTATAGATAATCGATGGATTATTGATTAAGGAAATGTAGAGGCTGATTTAGTTAAAATAGTTCTTGTCAGTCAAATATAAGGCTGTGGAAAAAAAGTCGTAACTTATCACTACAAATACAGAATTACTGCATTAGGGTGTCACTATTATATCTTTGAGGTGGAGTAGTTAAACCGTGCACTTTGCATGGCGTTACTCTTTAAACCCAACAACAGGAACATGCAGGAACAGTTGTCGAAAGCTGAAATCCTGACTGTAAACTGTCAAATTAATAATTAAGCAGCTTAGCAAAGATTACCAGATGCAAAATAAATTTCAGATTACAGAAGGTAAACATGATTTTTTTTTTTTCTTTTAAACTAAATCCACATTCGCAGACTGAACTCATTCATTTTGAACTGTTTACATGCAGTGTATCATTAGTTTTAGATCTTTTTGTAGGTTTCTGAAGTGGGATTTGTCCTGTTTATTTTAGCATCTCGAGCACCAATCTGATTATGTGTTTGGGTGACTGGAGTGTGTCAGGAAGACACAACGCCACGTGCACATAGGCTACCACAGTCAAGGGCAATTACAGGAAGACTTGTGCCGCAGTGTCCAGTCAGCGCTGTGCACCGGAGTATCCTCTGATCTAAGCTGACTAATTGATCTCCATTAGCAGCTTTGGATAATCTGGGCACCTTTTCACTCAAAAACATGATACTGCAGCCTGTTTAGTTTTCTCCTGTCGACAAAGATTTGGTTTTTAATCCTCTTTTTCACTTATTAAAGGCAACGTAAATAGAGTTACAACCGACTAAATGACCCCCAGAGTACAAGACTGATTAAAAATACGTGACATAGCCGACCGAAGAGAGAGAAAGTCTGGCTGCAGCTAATAGAGGTCCTGTTTTGTGTCCTTGCTAATGTGTTTGGTGGGCGTACAAAAGTACCTTTATGCTGTTCAGAATCGTTCTCCAGTAATAATGGTTTCCTTTATGTTATGTCTGCCTTGTATGTTTTTTAGGATCCAGAAAGCCACAGAGTCTCTGAGGACCTTCCACCCTGCAGCTGACCCCTGCTTTGATGAGTTTGTGCTGGACACATCCAGGGAGGAAACTCTGCTCAAAGAGATGTGCTTTGGTGGAGGTACGCGTGATTTATTTATTTAACATTTGCTCCATTTTTTTTATTTAATTTTTTTTAACCCAGGTGCAACATTCTTGACAGTGTTGGCAAAACCACGATCTGATGCATCAGCTTTTACCTGAAGTAACTTTCGGAACCTGACTTTTGATTGAGAATTTGGAATATTGCCATGTGTACAGGCTGCTTGATGAACTCGGTGGGTTTCTGTGCTCAGTCAAATATTACTCCACTGATTTGTCTCTGAAAAACTGTGTTAAAGGACAAGCCGCTTGTTCATGGGTGACTGGAAAAAGTGACCGTCAGGAAGATATGGTGACATTTTGAGCTTCTGTTCATTTTGCGAATATGAAGACGGCCTTTGTTCATGCGTCCTTTTAGACCGTGGCAAAACACGGCTGTTTTAATGTAGGGCCTTGCAGTTTGAAAAGTTAGTTTAACAAATGAAAGTGTTCTTTAAAACACGAAACAGCCACAATAAACAGTCTGTGCATGGCCCTGTGAACTCTGTTGTCCCAAGAGGTCAGAGGTCGTCTGTGGGCACCTAAATTGGATAAACGTGTTGAGCCTTGGGTGCGCTGCCAGTGGATTTGACTGCTCTGGGAAGCTTTGTTCTGGTCTGCTGACTTCCAAAGGCTTCTTCTGTAAACAACTGCTCAGGTAGAAATTTCCCAGGGATGAAAGGATGCGTCCTCTCTTGATTGCTCCGGCATGCTGCCTCTGTAGAAAATACATTGTTTTGCATTAATTTAGGTTTGCTCGTTATTATGAGGCCGTGACGAGGAGGCAAACGACAGCAAGTCGTAGCAGATGTGGTTTTCAAGCAACAGGAATAATCTTGTCTGATATTGCACCATACCACTGACATTTTCTTGGAAGAACTTAAACTGATGAGCAACACTTTTTTTTATTGGTTAGCAGACTGTAACTTGCATGCATTTCATTCAAGACTGTTTTTAAATTTGATGTTTTTGGCCGTTTTCAAAATGTTAAAGAGCTGGAAAAGATTCAACTAACTGGTATGTTCAAAAATTCTACATATACAGAACGACGCAGTTCAGATAAGCTATCAAATGCTAAAACAGGCTGCAAAAATGGCTTCATGAGGAGGTGTATATTAGTCACAGGCTACTGAAAGGTCAGTCATAGAGCTAGCGCTTCAACGTTTGGTGCAAACTCGTACCATCGTCAGATTAAAGCTTGTCACGCAAATCAAACTCTATACTAAAGCTGGAGAATTACACGTATTATACTGCAGCGAACATGAACACATTGACATAGTATGATGTTCATATTGGCTCCACCTTCCTCAAGTTCCTGCCTTAATGATATAATTACCAGACGGGGGATTGAAGCATCATAGCTGTATTTCAGTGACTGAGATGGAGATGTATTGAATACTGCAGATGGTGACAGTAAGTTGTGACGGTTCTCTCAGTCGTAGTTATCCACTGACTGGTGTTTTGATGTTTGGAGCCTCTACAAACTGAGAGCAGCTCTTTGTCTGTGATGAGCTGGTCAGTGCCAATAAAGGCTTTAGGTTTGAGTGGCAGCTGTGCTTCTAGATGTATGAAAACAAATTATTTGGGGATTAAATGATGCTGATATTATAGATGAAGCTGAAGTCTCTTGGCACAAGTCCATTATCCCTCAAGTGCAGCTAAACAAGCGACAGTTGTTCCAGTGACCGTTGGCGACAAACAAAGCCGGGGGTGACATGAGTTTGTGGGCTTTTGTTGCTACACTGGAGAGCAGCGCTGGTTGGTTTGTCCATCTCGCAGCCCGCTCTTGACTCTGTCGAGGTTTATGGACAAGTGAACTTGAAATGGGGCATTTTCTCTGACTGTTCAAACGAAGGGACGGTTGGACAAATATCAAATCATCCACTCCACTGTAGAATGTGGTGTAAAGGAACCACTATAAACCCCTGTGTTTTATAAATCGATAGAAAATGTTTCTATCACAAGTCCACGAGGGAAGCAATTGGAAGAGAAACGTTGGGGAAAAGTCAGATTTTACAGTTAATAAGTGTGAAGTCCTTGAAAAACTTTTGACCAAATACTCATTGAAATATAAAAGACCTTGCTGGTAAGTACCAGCACACAATGTTCAAAGATGACTTCACATTGTGTAATATATTCAGGTGATTTGTCAACCACCAGGAGCCCTGAAAAAACATTTAAAGAGTTGAAAATAGGATTTAATTCTCTGTAAAATAACTGCATGTGTTTAAACGATTAGTGTTGATGTTTCTAAGACTGTGCTGGCTTTAATTTACATTTTTTTGAACCAAAATAAGAAAAAATGTTGTATATTTTGGTTGACACAGCATTTTTGATTTGACATTTCCTTGTGTCATCCTTTTGTGAAGATTGTCATTAACAATAAACTGCAGATAAAGTGTCACTTCAGGCCAAAACATTACGTCATACGTCCCAGTCCTCGAATTATTTTATAGTTTATTCTGCAGTTTTCTTTTGTGTAAACAAGTCTATGAGATGAACATTTCCTTTATATAAAAAGAAAAGAATAACAAAAAGTGCATTTATGCTGTCCTCATTTTAGCAATTTCTCCTAAAATGACTGAATATTCATCATTTGGCTTCTTGGGGATTTTTTTCGTCTAAAAATGTGGAATAAACGGATCTGTGCTGTATCCTTCAGGGAAAGTGCTGCACGCAGCAGTTGTGTGGCAGTCATATTGATGTGTGTCTTTGAACTAAACAGCCTGCGGGAGTTAATGGTGCTCTTCCTCGGAGCTCAGAGAGGGAAAAGAAGCTGTGAGGGCATTTGTATTCTGCAGTAATTCAATTTAAGTCTTGGCAGATGATGCAGCAGTAAGGAACCACTGCGGCGCCTCTGGATAGTGTCCTATAGTCCTTTTACAGAACGTGACTGTGTTCAAATCCAGGAAACTGAACATACATTTATGGTTACTTATAGGGAGAGTTTTGGAACGCTTGAGGCTGACTTAAATGTGCTCACTGTAAAGATGTTTTGGTATGTCTTCTCCTCTGTGCAGCACTTATGGAAAAACATCACTTCGTAGCTTATTGTCAAGTCCTGAATATGATTAGCAGTCATGTATGAGATGTCTGTGTTCGATTTTCCTCAATGCCTCTTGCTTGTCCGCGTTTTCTCGTCATATCTTCCTCTTTGGAGAACCATGTGTTTGTGCATGTTGACCCTGCTACGGCCCTCGTGCCAGCTTTGACCCCACGCTCTGCTTCTCAAGAGGCTGTGAAAGGCTGTGTTGTCAACTGTAAATGCCCATTTGTGGTCCCATTTCCAACTGGGGCTGAGAACAGCACTTCTTTCAACTATTTCCACTTCAACTTTTACCATGCTCTCTACAAAATACTACGGCTCACGGAAAAGCGGCCAAATTCAAAGGAAATGTTGACAGTCCAGTCCTCTCATAATGTAGAGCAGTGGAATGAAAATGGACACAAGGGAGAGCGGCTCCCTACGGTGTAATTTGGCCTCGATGCTGTCTGTCTGGCAGCTGTCTGTACTGTATGTTATCAGTATTGCTTGTTTTTTTTCCTCTGAGTCATTGAACTAGTGCTGCCTGCTGTGTTGGATGGCTCACTGCCCTGTTTGGTCCTTGCTTGTTGGTCCATCTGTTGGAAACAGGTTAAAAAAGGAAGGCTTATTTGTCAGTATAGCAGATGGTTAGCGCCTCAGAAAGAATGTCTGATTGTGATTTACTCTAAAGTGGCACCATATTATTTAACTAGGTTACTACTAATTAACATGAAAGAATGGATCTTTTCACTTGGCGCTCAGGGTCAAGTGTTGAAAACAAGAATTTAGAGGAGTTGTCAAGTATTTTTCCTCCATTAATTCAGGGAAAGTGTGAAAACGCACCTTTAAAAATCAAACGAATGACAATGGCTGAGTTCAGGCGAGGCACATGAGAAAGTCTTGGGCTTTAAGAAGGGACAAGCTCATGAAGGAGAGCTGGCTGGGAGAAAAGACTTTGGAGATTGAGGATTAGCCGAGTGACTTGGGAGGCTCAGAGAGCTCAACGGCAGTGGTGACACTGGTCAGCGAGGGGAATCCATCTATAGGGGAAAGGAGCTTTAGAAAAGGGAAGAACTGAGAATGTCACAAGATGACAAAAATAGAAAGCGTAGAGGACTTGACAAATGGAAATATCATGAGGCGGCGAGGAGAGGGATTCTCTCAGGGAGGGCGGTAAAAGTGTTGAGAAAAATTGCCTTGATCTTGGAGGGGAAGACGGTGACCTACATGGTTACTGTAATGTGATTCTGTTTCTGGAGAAAAACAGGCTGAGAACTGTAAACGATAAGATGGCTGAAAGCTTTAGAGGGGGTCTGTCCTCTGACATAAATCGGGGGACGGGTGGGAAATTAAAGGTGAATACAAAGCCAGACAGGTTGATGCTTCACAGCAAATCTCTACAGCCACCAAGGGGAGGAAGAAAGGACGATAAATGTGTCGAAAAAAGTGTAATGGATGAAAGTTAAAGTGCAAGAGGAGGAAGTGAGAGGTGGTGGGGGTGTTTTTACAAAGTGCATTTCCTGGCAGGGAGACTGTGAAAACCTCTTAAGCTCCATTATGCAAGATGGTCTTGTCCATTGTCCTGAGTGGATAGTCCTGATCCTAACAAATCTAATCTTTGCCACACTTGGAATGCTTCATTTGCTTAAGCTGAACTTATTCAGCTGCAGTGCGGTGCTTAGCATGATTAAGAAACAAGTGATTTTACTGTTGTTCACTTGTATTCAGTGTTTTTTTTCCCTATTTATGCAAATGATCTACTGTACCTTGCTGTTCACTAAAAAGAATATTTTTCAGTATTGATCCCTGTCATGTAGGATATCTTTTATCTCCGGCACACTGTCTAGCTTGCAATCATATATATATTAATGCAACATTTCTGTCTGAGACCTTCATCAGGTACTATTTGCCTTTTTTTGTCCCTCTTGGATGTCCTCGTCCCTCTGTGATGCACCTGCCTCATGTGATAGATGAGCAAAGAGTTCAGTTTGGTATAAATGGGACAAAAAATTAGCATTGTTTTTACATTTTATGTTGCTGGCTGCATGTCAGACATGTAAAATGCAACGTTTTAGACCTCCTTACTATTGAACAAAATGATTCACTGGTGTGGAGAATGACCTAAGTGGACAGTCTTCTCCTTGATTAACATTTCACTGCTTTGGTTTTCTTTTCTTCCTAACCCTTCCCCAGTTCCAGACCCTCCTCTGATCGACTTGTCCAGTAGCCGGGTCTATAACGAGGCCTCAATCTGCTGGAGGCTGTCAGATGACCACCTACCCACAGATCACCACGTGCTTGAATACCGCAGGTGGGTACAAGAGAATATAGAAGGACTTTTCAGACAAGTTAAGAGATATGTGGCAAAGTCTAAATCATCGTAATCTTCTTCTCCAGACTTGGGGGCCCGAACCAGTCCCCTTCCCAGGAGGACGGTGAGGACAATGGGGTCTGGAGGGCTACAGACAGGGTGTATGGACCCAGCACTGTGGTGAGTGACCTGGAGCCTGACAGCCGGTACGCCTTCAGAGTCCGAAGCTGCAGGAACTCCATGTTCAGCCCCTACAGCCCCGAGGTCAACTTCCACACACCACCTGCACCTGGTAAGATATGTGGCAGTAACATTTATCTATTTTGTCCCTTTTTCCTTTATGATGGGGTTGTTATCTGTCCTTTGATTGTTTACTTGGATGTAAATGAAAATGGTAAAGACTGCTGAAGAGGAAATGTAAAAAAAACAACTCACTCCATAAAATTTGACTCGACTATTTCCTTAACCTTTGTTATTTGTTAAGTGCATTCATTAATTGACAAACTATCGGAGAACCAGCCCCTGTTATTGGGCCTCTTTTTGGCCGAGGCGACAGCTAAGCTCCTCTATCGCCTTTAGTTCTCAGAGCACGTCTCAGTGCATTGTGCTCGATTTTTAGGAAGATTATCAGATGACAGATGCTTCGCTGTGTTTCTGAATTTGGAATTTTCTTGTTGCGTGGCCGACGGAGGTAATGAAGCACAGCGGTGTTTTACTTTATCACCATAGTAATGGCTTTTGTGTTTCAGATGACTGAAACCAATATAGCTTTTGTCTGAGTGTGTGGGAGCGGAGTTGTACAGGGTGACGGTTTGGAAAAGAAACCTGCACTTGCATCTGTTGTTGGCTTTTTAAGCTTGCCTTGGAGAGGCAAGGTGGAATTCATTAAAAAGGATCATCGTCCCCAACCATCTGCTAGAGCTGATTTCTATTCGTACTGTCCCACTAAGGAACTGTATCACTTTGATTTCTATCCTGCTCGGTGATCATTACTTTGTTCTTGCTTTGGGCTGCTTTCACTGATTTTATATCTACTATAGTTGTTAAAGTTTGGAGTTTGCAGAGACTTTTTATGTACTAGTGTCACTTAGTCTTGATGCACTTACCAGAAACCAGAATATTTTCAGAATCCTTATGTTTTCCCTCCGATGGCAGAAGCCTGCATCAGAATTAGTCTGTTGCACACATGTCACATCTCACTGTGATCTGATATAGCTGCGTTTTGACTTGTGTCCCACACAAGCCTTGTCATTTGTGCCTTGTTGTGTGATTGGAGCGTCCACATTCCTGTGTTCTCTGGTTCGTGTAAGACTGAGAGGATGGATTCAGCCTGCGTCAGTAATGAGGTGGAATTTCAAGCCAGGGTGAAACGCAGAGGACAAAACATGTGCACATGCTCACTGGCGCTCATGACGTAGTGTGAAGGGATACAGTTTCAGCGTGTGACAACAGATGTTTCTGTCTTCACACAGCCTCGCACAAGAAAATGACATAATGTAAAGCGCTTAGATCAGATCTCAGCCAGTCAGTCTTGATATTCAGCAGTTTGATGACACCACTATCTCCTTTTCTTTTCCAGATGCTGCTAAGTAAATCTTAACATACCCTTAAAAAAAAAAAGCCATTTAATAAAGACCTAGGTCTATTGATGTGAAATTAAAGTACCATTGCCTGGGGGCTAATTTCATGCTGCATCATTTATACTTGCCACCCTTTTTTGTTATTTTTTTTGCTTATTAAATGACTTGGAGAATCAATTTACAGTATTAAGCAAAGTCAAACAACATGGGTGTAGCTATTGATTTTGTAATAATAAAATGCAATTGATATCCCATAATGCGCACAGCTGGTGTCAGAGAACATGAAAACTGACTCGATATTTAATCATTTGACAATGCAAGCTTGAATGAACTAAACATGCATACAATGAACCCTCTTCGCTTTCATGTCAGACACTGTATAAGATTTTAGGTGTCCATTTTAGCTCTCCAGTACGAACGCATCCCCGCCCTGCTACAGAACATCACGTAAAACTGCTGCACAGTTGCCTGTTCACCCTTTAGGCAGGCTTATACTATTATCATTATCATGCCCTAGTTGTTATGAGGACTTCCCCAGACACATGCAAATGAACCGGTCTTCCCCAGCGGAGACCTCAGATTGCATGGGATGGTTGAGTGAGCAGGCATAATCACGGCAGCCTATATGTATCCTGGATTATGGTAATCACGACCTCTTGGCCTGTGAACTATTTATAGAATGCGTTTAGTTGCAAGCAGATGAGGAGCATAAACTGCATATGAGAAAAGAGGACTATTAGAAGACAATGGCAAGTAGGTCTTTGTTTAGCTTTTTAAGATTATGTTACAGCGCCCTCTTGTGTCAGTCTTTGCCACTTACTTGGTGTAAAACCCAAACCATTGCTTTTTGCATGAGTTGTATGCTCAATAAAAAGAGTTTATCTTCTTCCCTTTCTTCTCCTCTACCTCTGTCTTCCATTCTCTCTCATCTCCTCAGCTTTCGGTTTCCTGTTCAGCGATAAGTGTGGATTCAGCACAGAGCGGCTCATTCTAAACAAGCGACGGGACACGGTGGAGAGCGTGGCAGGCATGGCCTTCCTCCTCGCCGCTGAACGCATACAGACAGGCAGCTACATCGGACTAGATTACATCATTGGGGACACGGGCATCTCTCAGGGAAGGTACGCAAAAAAAACCTAACAACAGTAAGACTTTTTACTGTGAAGTTGTGTTGAGCATCATTTTATTTGCTACACAGTGAACTTTAAGAATTTCTACAAAGGGATAAGGTTCAAGATTTGCACACAGTACGGACGCTGCCTCATAACTTGCTCATTAGACCATCAATATGTCATGCTGTCCAAACATAAAATATTCACAAGAGAGGGAGCGGATGTGGAGCTTTATTTTTAAGCAGCTGGTGATGGTCGTATTATCATTTGTGCCATTTCTGTTTCATAGTTTTTGCATGAGGCTTGTTAAAGGGCACATCAGGAATAAGTGTGTGAAGGGATTTTGTTCTTCATACGTTCTTGCAATAAAAATAGTAACCGCTTTATTTGTTTTGCAGACACTATTGGGCCTTCAAGGTGGAACCGTACTCCTACATGGTTAAAGTTGGAGTGGCCTCCGACACAAAGCTGGTTGAGTGGTTTCACAATCCCAGAGATACCAGCAGCCCAAGGTATGTGCAGGCACATGGTTGATATTTACAGTTTGTCCATAAGCAGCGGACACGTGGTGAAAAAACAATTCTGTTTACCTTCTACAAATCAGACTGTAAGAAGCACAGACACAATCTGAGGACAGCGCTGAGTGTGTTTGAGTCATACCTAATCCTGTGATGTAACAGAACCGGTATAAACTCGTAAAGAGCTTACCCACACACAAAGCCTGCCTTTCTCACTGGATCAACTCATGTAAAGGAGCACATTATTTACGCAAATTAATTTTAATTCTATGGTAATTGCATAATGCATGCAAGGTGATAACCCCAGGCAGCATTCAGCCAGTCATTAGAAGGTTGAGTTTGCTTTTTTTTTTTTTTTTTTCCCCTCCAAAGTAAATCTTAGAAAATAACAGGTCCTTGTAATATGTATGTAGCACAAATCCCGCCCCAGTAAATGTGAATAATTCTTATCCATCAGGTTTGATTGTTTTCTTTGACATCTTAAGGCATCATACTGGCCTCTGGGAAAGTTTTGAGAGCATTTTATGGTGTTGCATTTCATAAATCCAATGATTAATCACAAAGTTAACAGCGAATGCATTAATAACAAAAGCCATTATTAAATCTAACCTTGCAAAATCCAGTCTTAACACCCTTGGATCATCTAGTAGAGATTATCACACTCTTTTCTGTTTCACACATGATTTGAGTTCTGGCTCTGACGTACATTTCAAAACGTTTGTTGCCGATTATGACAAACTTATGTGTCCATCAATCCTCCCCCTGTCACCAGGTACGACCACGACAGCGGCCATGACAGCGGCAGCGAGGACGCGTGCTACGAGCTCTCCCAGCCCTTCACCCTTCTCACCCTTGGCATGGGGAAACTTTTCATCCCCAAGGCTTCTTCATCGTCCTCCGTTTCCACAGCAAACGCAGCATCCGGTGACCCCGGCAGCCGCATGCTTCCCATGCCGCAACGACTGGGTGTATGCCTAGATTACGACGCATGCCGGGTGTATTTCTACGACGCCGACACCATGAGGTGCCTTTACGAGAGGCAGGTGGATTGTTCGGGAACTATGTATCCGGCTTTCGGCCTCATGGGCAGCGGCAAGGTTCAGCTGGAAGAGTTCATCACCACCAAGAGACTAACCTTCTGAGGAGGGAGGCAGTATGTGGGACCATTAGGACCCCGATCGATTTAATCTTTGGCATGTTCTGGGAAGAGCAGTTTTTATTGACAGGGTGATGGAGTACAATCCAAACCAATTTCTTTTGAGGGGCAGATGAGGCAGATGTGATCAGAGCCTTTGGTTCTAAATGTGAAAATGGGATCTCTGCCAGAGACTGGCCTATTTAGAGCTGGCATGTATAATGTATGGCGCTGAGTATCAGCGTCCACATACAGAGGTCTCCAGATATAAAAGGTCTTCTCTACATACCAAAGTCTCTGTATCTGTTAATTGTATTTGACCTGGTTTTAATTGCCAGCTATGATCAGCTGATGATGTAGATTTGACTGCACACGTAGTCTGCAGTCACTTTAAAGTTTGTTTTAACATGAAACGCCTTTGAGCTTACACTTACACTTCCTCCTTTGCCAGGTTTGTTTCTAGATTATTTTATGTACGTTAATTATGGGATGATCTTTGATCTTCATTGGGCTGTTTTCTGTAACTATTTGTCTAAACGTAGCAGCATAGGTGTAGATGTAATCTTGGTGGACCTGGGAGAGCCTTGTAGCTACTTTGAAGCTAGCGCCTTTGTGCCTTTTTTGTTTTTTTGTTTGTTAGGAAATGGGTCACTTAGTTTGCTCTAGCCAGCAGATGTTGGTGTCATTGCACAAACATAATGGAAATACTTATCAGCATAAATACTGTATGTTAGATCTACTGTAGGCATAGAGTGATCACAGACACTGGTGTCAAAGTTAATGGTATTCATTACGACTTGTTATTTACCTATTTACTCTTGACGTTATCACAAAAAAAAAAAACACTACTTTTCCTACTTGTCGCAGTTTCGTTGAGCTGTTTTTGCACAATATGAGTGAATCGTCGCACATGATAATCTTTACAATCGTCACGTTTTGATCACTACCTAGTTAGCTTCTTCACTTTAAATGTCGTCGACACGCGTCCGTCGCCACACACTCGCAAAAGCGTCCATCTTCACTAACAAATGTGAATCCTGGAGTAGTTACTTGGGTTTACAAGCCTCTCACTGTTTCTGCTCTTACATGTGTTGCACAGCACACAGTGACTCTCAACATCATTGAAGCATCCAGGTACCAGAACACCGTGTACTTGTAGCCAACATCCGTTTGACAGCTGCAAAGTCACTAATAGCCAAAGCTTTTTTTTTGGTTCCGGTGCTGACATAAGTGCAACCCACAGCTTTGTGGTCTCACAGCCTTGAAAACAGTTTAAAAAAAACAAAAACAAACAAAACTCACAGTTATTCAGGTTCTCACAAAAAGTGCTATCACAAAACACACCTTTCAGTACTGATGCTCTCAAAACCACCGTTTACTTGCAGTGCAGACACATTAACTGTAGCTTATTAGCATGTTACGGTTTGAGTTTGGCTGTCAGACAGACGCCTAAGTGGTTGATTGGCTTTGGTTGAATCAGCTCACATGTTAACGTCTTAAAGAGCACACTAGACAGACTGTTCGCTGGGAAACCACGCTTGTTTTCTTTTTGTACAGAGACATACTGTATATGTGCCTGCACATGGGTTTGTTCATACATTTATATATATTTTGCTTTCTGAAGGGTTAGGGTAATCGGTGTGTGTGCGTTTTCTCAGGTTTCTGGCCCTGACCGGGGGCCCAATGCTACCTACTACCTCTATCCACCAGGCCTGGAAAACCTTAACTACTGTACCTTTCCTTACAGAAACGAGTTCGGTTTGATTTACAGCTTTCTTTGTAACAGTCGGTTCAGTATCTCCGCCTTCTCTCTGTCCGATTTAATAAGCTGATCTTTCAAAATGTTTGATTTTCAAATTCCATGTACATATTAATCCAGAGTGTATTATTTTCAGTGAAATAAAGTAAATCATAAATGTCCATGTGGTTAGTTGCTGTTCGCTTGTGGATCACTATAGATGGAAATTACTGTAAGCAGATGTTACTGTTCAGCTGCCTTTGTCGAGGGAGTGTTTGGGTTTTTGTTTTTTTTTCTAATGGAACAATCTTTTTTTCCCTTTTTGTGGTGTTGGTTTTAATGTTTTAGATATCAAGTATCGAATTCATAGTTTTGGGTTAAACACATTTAATAAATTTGCTTATTCATTTATCTGGACAGGAAATGTTCAGATGAAATATTCGACTACTGTGACCGTGTACATATTTCGTGTCGCAGGTGTTCATGTTAATTTTCACTCCAATCCTCAAACGGCTGAACCCTGATCCCTGTATGTTAAAATTGAGTTTTTCAACATCCTAAAAAATACATCTATGCATTTAAAAAAATAAAAAAGTCAGGGCAGGTTCAGTTTTAATTCCTGTAACAGAATGTATTCATAATTGCAGAGCAAATTGCTGAATGTTCCTTTATGTTTTTAAAGTGTTTTTTTTTTTTTTTGTTCCTATTGATTTGTTCCACTTGAGGTCACAGCACACTTGTATGTAGTTACAGAAATCTGATCAAAGGCTTGTAATCTTAACCACAGCTGATACTAAATTAAATGCATCCTGTAGCCTGCTTTTCAGTAATTAATTCCGAACCAAATACGTTGCAGGCTGGCTCTCAATCTAATTCCAAGCTAGCACTTTAAAAAAAAAAAAAAAATCTGTAGCATGTCAGCAGCTGTTTGGCTCTGCAGGTGTGTATAATACGCGTGTGTGCAATATTACTGAATGGGCTGTAGAACCGAAGAGTATATTTTAGACACATAAGCCTATAAAGACGATTTGCACTGTTAACCGTTTATAGGTTATTTTGTGGTTTAAAATGGGCTTTTCCTTCCTTGATACCAAGTGAATTTAAACACTACTTGTAAATGTTTTTTCCCTATCGGTAACTCTTTGATTTTTTTTTTTTCTTCCTGAAATTAGCGACAGTGCATTTGTCCCCTTGTGTTTCCTTCAGAGGATTGGATGTGGTGTGTAAGTGGTGGATTTCTGTATGTGTACTATGTAAAGATGTGGAAATATTGTTCTTTGCTCTGATTCCTGGAAAGGCTACACTTTTTAATTTGCTGTGTGGGGATTTCTTCCAATAAACCTAGTGTGTTTTTAAATCGATTTTGTCTCGCTGGTATTGTTTCTATATTTGTACAGTTGTATAGTTGCTGTTTGATTAATTTAGCAGCTGTGATGCACAAACATTTGCACAGCATTTGTTGAATATCAGTAGAAACAACAAGACTTAATTACAGTTTTCAGTATCTTTAAACCATTTAATGAAACTGTCTTTTCATTCTTGAATCTAACTTTCATCTTTGCAGAATACTTGTAGTTCTTATAGTGTAGAAATGTCTTGCATGCATCACATTTGAGATTGAACCACAGACTTTTTATCTTGACACTATGGAGGCATTTAAAAACCCTGGTTCTTTAAATAGTTCATTCATGTGTCAAGGTATTTTAGGATGTTTATAGCTGTTAATATTTCCTGGTACCCTCACTGAAGTCTTTTCTTTCTGGAGTGTTTTATTTAAATGCTAAAAAACACCCAAGAATCAGACTGAAACAGCATTGAATCAGCTCAGGAGATGTCAATATCCTCCTAGAAATATACCCAAATTGATGAGAGTATACCTTGGAAATGGCCAGAAATGGAAAGTAACTCAGAGTTGATGGTTTCTGGAGTCAGACTGTGCTAAGAGTAAAGTATTAATCTTAAAATTCCAAGTGCATATTCATTATTTTTGTACATTACTTAGTTGTATATTTAATCTTTATAGCGCTCGCTTTGTCTTATAGTGTCTCAACACACTCACTTAGTAAAGTTGTTGGACCACCACATGCTGCCAGAACCCTTCTTTCAAATGATATTATTTCGTTTGATGTTCTGATTATGGTTGTGGAAAGCGCTGATGAACACAAAATCTCCCAAAGTGGTGAAGGCCATAGCGTATAGTTCACAACATTTTCATACTCAAACCATTCAGTAACCCCGGTGTTCACTGATTTGCAGTGACCCTTCCCAGTAGGAGGACGAGTGGAGCCACATGATGCCCCCCACAGCGTAACAGAGCCACCAGATCCTTGCTCTGCAGGGGTCAAGGGTTCAGGATTTTCCTTTACTTTGTCACTCGTCACTATATTTAGTATAACTGAAAGCCTGCATGTGTATCGTTGGGTAATACTGATACATGATGTGTTCTCAACAAGTTCCATAACATGGTTTAGTATAGTTGTTGATGAATATCCATTTATGAACCCCTCTGTGACATCGCTGTTCACAATCATATATTTCTGTACAGTCAGTGAATTTAGTTTTTGAATAATAATGTCCTCTTGGCTTAAAAGGAATGTAAGCAGCATCCATTACATGTCTGAGCTAAATATTTATGTATTTTTATATGAACTAAATTACTAGAAATGTATGTAGGCAGTAGGAGTAGACTCAGCTGCTTTTTGGATACTTTCCAAATCTACTCATGTCCACAACTTTGCAGTGACTCACAGTGACCCTTCCCTCGAAGAGGACAAGTGGAGCCAAACCATGGCAGCAAAATGCCCCCTACGGACTAACAGAGCCACCAGGTCATCTCTCTGTTGGGGTCAAGGGCTCAGGACTTTCCCTGAACTTGTCACCAATCTGTACATTTAGTAGTGTGTGTTTTTTTCCTTTGCTATGCTTCATTTAGTTAAAAACCTGCACAGCAGTGTTTTGCCTTTTATTCCATTCAGCTTAGTTTTATTAATGTGGTGTGTGATGACCTTACAATATTAAATTACAGATAGAAACTCAACACATTCAGAGATTTCCATTACAGAAGCTCTTTGGTGACGGTGGGAAGAAAAAAAACTCCCCTTAACCAGTGAGAAAACAGCAGAACCAGGCTCAGGGAAGGTGTCCATCTGTCTTGACTGGTTAGGGAGAAGGTAACACATAAGAGAGCATAAACACGGGGGAGGTTGATGAAGCCAGTAAGCAGATTGGAGACGTGTAACTCCCAAATCAGAGATGTCTCGCACAGGAGAAAGAAGATTCAGATGCAGTAGGAATACATAAATGCATGGAGCATCTCATCAGTGATTTTTTAAAGTTACATGTCTCAGCCCAGTAAAGTGCAGCCTTTACTATGACAAAATATGAGAAACTGGTATTTCAGGGAGGCAAAGTGAATGTCAGATCCTTTCTGATTAAGGCTGTGATCTGAATCAAGATCAAGAGCTTTGTTGTTGTTTTATTATTATTATTATTATTAAGGCTGTGTAATAACAGCAAGACATGATTAAAAGAAAAATAAAACCCTTAAAAACAGAAAAGTCATAAATAATGAAGAGCACATATTGAATCTTTATAAATGTAAATACAGTTTGACATGATGTAGGTGTAGTTCAGTTGGATACATTATGCATCATGCCATATCTGTACTTATCCAGATTTATATTCACCACATCATAGATGTACATATCCATATACAAAATAATCATTTCATAGTTGCATATATATGTAAGCCAGTTTGTCATGTCATAACTGTACATATCTATATGTATATTGATCATGTCATACCTGTCGATATTCATATGTATATTCATCATGCCTCATCTATACACATAGGTTTAAATATATGGATCAAAATGTATCAGAAAGGTTGAGCTTATCTTATCTTATCTTATCTTTTATAAGGAGACTGTGAAATTGAAGTGTTGTCTGTGTGTGCATACATCCATGTGTTATACATATTTACATAGAGATTACTGATATCCAGTGGGTCATGTATAACAAGAGTCTATTAATGGGATGTGTCTATAGATGATACTGATCAAAGAAGAGCTGGGTCGTCCATCCATCCATCCATCCATCCACCTGCTGAGGGATGCTGAGCTGTGCAGCCTACGGGAGGAGGAGGAGGAGGAGGAGGAGGAGGGACGTCACGCTGTGCACGCTCGCGGTCTGTCGTTGCAACGCGGAAGAGACGAAGGAGGAAGGAGACGCTCCACGTCACTGAGGTGTAATATCGGCGTCAGTGCAACACAAGGTGCTACCTCAGTACGATTCCAGTACCATTGTACAACCACACGTCCTCATGTAGGATAGAACAACTCGCGTGACCACAAAGCGAAAGGTTTACTCCGCCGCTTTCTGCTCCACAACGGGCCTCGGCGGAGACTTCCAGGAACCCCCGCTGAAGGTAACGTACGCACGTTAACGGTCGCTTCGGTGTGTTGTTTGCCCCGCCGCCTGCTAGCCTCGAACCGCCGCTACGGAGGAGCTTCCCCCTCCTTCTCCTCGGACACCGCTGACCTTTTGCGGCTCGAAGGAAGCGCCGCACGGTGTTGGTATTGATAAAATGTCGTAGGAAGCATTAGCCCCGGAGTGTCAGCGGACTGACCCAGCTAGCTAGCCGGGATTTAAGGTCGGTAGGATTCAAAGCGTTGTTGACGTTTTCGGTTTGACAGTTGTCGGCGTCCTGCTGGGGAGCTGCTGCTGCTGCTGCTGGATCCATGCATTTACATGTCTGCTTCACATCTCATGCAAGCTGTTTCATATGATAACTAGCTGTATTAGCAGATGGAGTAAACAGCAGCAGCCGGGCCCGTTGTAGGAACTGTAGGCATTACTGTAAGCACACTGTAACAACATGCTAAGGGCCTCTCATTGTTGTGGTTTGGATGCATTATAAAGCAGTCACACATCATGACTAAGTACCAGCAAACATAACACAGCACATGTACAGCAAAAAAAAAGCTTCAAGGGGCACAATATTCATCAGCTGGGTAAAGGGATGTCTTATCTTGTGTGGCTTTGCAGTGGAAAGTGTAAAAAATCAGGACTCAAAAGCACTAACCTGAACCCATTTCAGCCAAAATATATGATTCATTCTCTTCATTTGAAGCCAGCAAATGTGTGCTTGGGTAGCACTGATGCACTTTGTTTGCAGTACAGTATTCTGTGATCAATAATCATGCAGTAACACCTTTGTGTTGTTAAATATAATATCCGTCATGATAAAGTAAAAGGAAATCCAACTTTAAGTGTCTGTTTCAACCATTTTAAGGCAGGAAGGGGTTATTTACATGGAAAAAAACACTCGTTAATGTGCAACTGTAATACACAGAGATGAGATTTTAAGTGTTTAATCGATGACTGGAGAGGAACTTTAAAACAATAGGCTGGAAATCCTGTTTCCTCGCTCCTCTGTGCAAACAGCCACTATCCCTGAGTTGATGGTTCCTGGAGACTGATTATGTGTAGAAAAAAAAGCATTCGTCTTAGAATCCTAATTGAAAATTCCTTACTTAGTTGTGTGTTTAATCTTTATTGTCTTCTCTTTATCTTATAGTGTCTTTTGCAGTGTGTATACACAGACAGGTGGTAAGTTAAAGGGAAAAAACAATATAAAGCATCTTAAGCAGGTGTTTTTTTGCCACCACATGCTGCCAGAACAGCTTCAGTGTACCTTTGAATTAATTATCCAAGTGTCTGAATTCTGCTAGAGGGTCATTCTTCCATAACTTATTAGCTCAACTGGTGTTTTGATGATGCTGGTAGGCAGCGCTGACGAACACACCAGTCTCCCTTAGGTGCTCCACTGGGTAGAGATCTGAGGACTGAGAAGGCCATAGCAGATGAGTCACAGCATTTTCATACTCAAACCATTCGGTGACCCCTTGCGCCCACAACTTTGTATTGATTTTTAGTGACCCTTCCCTGTAAGCATGGTGGCAAAATACCCTCCGACAGCATAACAGAGCCACCAGATCATCTCTCTGCGGGGTCAAGGGCTCGGGATTTTCCTTTAGTTTGTTACTTGTCTGTATATTTAGCCAAGCTGTCTTCTCTTCTGTGGGTCTGCAGTGAGCTCAGACTCTGTGCTTGGACTTGTAGCTGAAGAAAAGCACGAACCTGAACACTTTATTACCAAAACATATCTTATTCACTGCAGCTGAAGCCTGCATGTGCATGGTCGGCTAAACCCAAAGCACTGTGTTCCATAACAGTGTTTAGCATCAAATCAAGTTTATTTATACAGCACCTTTTTAAAACAACCTGAGTTGTCCAGAGTGCTGAATGCAACAAAAACACAAAAAAAAAAACAAGGCAAAACAGGCGAACAACTTGTAAA